ACATTCTATCACGTGACCAATCACATGATCATGCAAAATGGCGAGGAAGTGCGAAGCGCTTCTGAAGGAAGAATTCTCGTTGTTTCCTTTTAAAAAATCAAATTATGAAGTGGAACTTACTCAGAAGTGGATCTCATATAAAAATGCAAGAAATGAATATGACGAAAATCATTACATACATTTTGGTGATGTGATTGGGTGCAAATGTCGAAAATCAAAAGCACACGACGTGTCGTGTTTTCTAACGATATATTATTATCCCATCTGTCAACGATCCTACAAAGGAAAGAGGACAAGAGAAAAACAGACTGTGACGTTTGATATACATAGTTCTAATGTTTTCGATGAAAATTTAAAGATGTGTTTCCGATGGAGGAATTTAATAATGTCTTTGTCACAGAGTGCGAAAGTTCACAAAGAAGGTACGTACGTATAAAAGCTGTGTAAGCACACGAAGAAGGTAATCATACATACGAATGTTAAATATGGTTTAAGATAATTGAAAGATGATGAAAGCCAAAAATGCATTTGTGTGTGTGTGTTAGTTATATTAGGAGAAAAAAGTGTTTTACGCTGTAAATACAATAAAATATAATTGTGACATATATAATTTATCCCCCCCCCCATAAGATTCTCTTTGCCCTTCTTTGTTTCATTAAAGTCACAGTCAGTTATATAGATATATATATTTACATTAACTTTGTAAAATGATTTTTAACAAATATATATATAATGGCCTTCAAACACTGTTTAGCTAATAATGCCTTTTGCATGAATGATGTACTGTACATGTATATCACTTTAAGTGTATTTAGACAATAAGATAAATGTGATTATTTCATTTTCATATTTTTTGATAAATTATTTTAAATCAATCATTTTTAAACCATTAATAACCTCTATCTTTCTACTGTTTTATTTTTATGTCTTAATTACTGTAAGTTTTTGATGTATTTCATTTGTTTCTTTCATGGAATATGGTTCAAAACAGCAAAATTAAGACAAAAGTATGTGTATATGACTCAGTAATAAATGACAAATAGGAATGAAACACCATTTTATTAACTTGTAGTACATTTTTAGTAATTAAATAAAGGTAATCAATGCCAATTTTATTTTTATTTTTTGTTGTTGTTTAAATGACTTGGTCCTGATTTAAAAAAAAAAAACCCAAGACACAAACAAAATTATACAGAGAAAAACTGTTCAGTGTTTCAGAAAACATTGTCTACATCATTGGATTTCCTTTCAAAGAAATATGTAATTTTTTGATTTAGTCACAAAATACTTCAAGTAACTAGAGTATGTTAAATCTTATTTCCAAGTAAAGTGTAACCTGTAACATGTGTAAAAAAAATCAATCCATGGATCACACAACAATTTAACAAGCAGGTAGGCATTCACACATTACTAATTATTGCTAATAAGAACCGACATGTGTGTTTGACAGCTTTTGTGTTCTATTGATCATTATTACCTTTATACATTGGTACTTTGCATTCGATTAATAAATTATCTAAAGTAAAACATATACAGAGTTTTACATTATGTGAGTCATAAGATATCTCGGTGTTTGAGAGACTGGATAAATTTTCCTAATGTTCATCAACATGATCAAGGAAAATAGCTGGGATGGGTATGCTTTTTGTGAGATTTAGAAATTTTAATCAAAGTTTGAATCAACTGTATATATGTACTAAAGAATATACCCAACCGGAATGCAATTGTCAAAATCAACAGGATGATATGTACAGCTGCTTCAAGGTCATGTGATTGCAAGGAAAATTTTGATTTTTTTAGTATCATCTTCTAGTTACAAAGAAACACCAAAAACATGTACTGCACTAGAAGTGTATTCTGGAATATGATAAAATATTTGTTTGGGCTGTAAATTTTTAAGAGAGCATCATGGAGGACATATGACATGTTGATGGTTAAGATAAATCCTTCTCTAAGGTTCATAGGTCCACTCCTTATACCCAGTCTCTGTGATGCTTAGCAGTTAAGCAACATCAAGTGCCCACAGTTGGGGTTGAACCAGTGACCTTTGGGGTTACTGGCCTAACACTTATGACAACTAAGCCATATACTTCACATATTGATGGACCTGTAGTTATTTGATTCTTGTTAAGAAGCAGCCCATTCAAAATTATTTTTCCTACCTTTTTTTTTTTTGAATGGAATTTTACAATTTAATAGAAGTATTGTTAAATCCCAATTTGCAGCTGTATAAATAAAAATATAATGTGTGAGATTTGAATAAAAAGTCGAAAAATAAGCTATTGAAACCTCTAGCAATAAGTCTATATCCTGATATTGTTTGTAATGAAAACATGCATAAGCATTTTGCATAAAAGCATTTTTAGTTTAACGACAAATACATTTTCTCCTTGCTGTTTACTGCTGTAATACTAACAAGCTATTTAATTCTTTTATTTTTTTAACACGTGTCTAAGGTCTTTTTTTCCCTTGCTGATGCAGTGTCCTTGTATCACTTAGTTTATTTGAAGGTCTGATGATTTTGTCAAACTTCCCTAGCTCTTCTTGTAAATATACTTGTTTGTAAATGGTAGATTACCATAATATGTAATGTAGCATAAATTTTGTAACAAGGTTTAGCTATTTTAGTTCTAATAATTTGGACTTTGGCTGAGTGGTGACAGACATCACACCAATACTGTATTAATAAATTCCAATATAAATTACACCGATATTGACTAAACGGTAATCAGATGATGTGGTATGGACCAAACACTCAAGTGTACATGTATATAGATTAGGCCCTAAGAAGCATTGGAAGCTCATGCAATAGTGCCATTATGACCAGATTGTATTTTGGCCTAGGATTAATGTTATTTTGACAAGGTCTCACAGATTGGCAATGTATTATCATTTTTTGATGATTATTAAGCTTTGGTATGCAATTGTCTTCATATGCTTTAATAAAAGTGTGTCCTTCAGGTTGTCCTGTTTATAGGACAGAATGATCTACTTTAAATATTTGTTGGTTGGCTCAATATCAAATGATCTACATATTGTGTATCTCTGCTGTGGTGAATGAGAAAGAAGAATGAGAAGAAATGAGTTGTACACTGAAGATTTAGGGCATTGCTCTGAGGGTTCCCAACAGTGAGTGACCTGTTTGTCCATCTCTCTGCCCATTGATCCTCTGTCTGATATTAATTGTTGGGAAATCATTTTTTTTCCTTTGACCCACTCAGGCTCAAATTCATAGAGTGTCTGTAGGTAAAGGAATTGCAGTGAAAAAAATCTGTAAAATCCTTGTCCTGAGTATACTCCCCTTAGCCCCATCTGACTACTACCTACTTCACAAACAGAGTACTTGTTGATAAAGGGTGTGCACTGATTTTGAACCAAGTTTCTAGGTCAGAGGTCAAGGTCATAGCAGATTTCTTAGTAGAGTCCTTGTACGCATATTTTCTGACCACTTGGCCCCACCTGACTCATACTTTAGAACCTATTTTTAAAAATTTGAAGCCAATGTCAGGAATAAAAAAAAACTCTGGGTAAAATCATTTTCCCCTCCCCCTGGCCCTATTCCACCCATAGAGTGCATGTGGATAAGGTGTGTGCAATGACCTTGAACCAAACTTCTGAGACAGAGGTCAAGATCACAGTAAATCTCAGTCTGTAAAATCCTTGTCATGGGCATATTTGGCTGCCCTTGCTCCTCTTGCCTTGTGGCTCATACTTCACCCAAAGAGTGCCCATGGGTAAGGTATAAGTCAAAGGTCAAGGTCAAAGCAGATCTCTGTGTAAAATCCTTGTTCTGAGCATATTTCCTATCCACTTTGTCTACTCTGAATCATATTTCAACCCAAAGTTGAGCGAGGGAAGTGTACGTGTGCAATGTCCATGAACTATGTTCCTTGGTTAATGGGTACCGGTATACAGTGTTTGTACCAATTAAGTGAAAGGTCAAGATTTTTGTATAAACTCCTTTTAGGGAGCAAATATTCTCTCTACTTAGCATTATCTCATTCACATCTCACTCAGAATATGTCTTTGAGGAAAAAAATATCATTGATGGGCAATTGATAAGTGCATAGTTGTAATTTAGACATTGATTTTTTTTATTGCCTCTCTCACAAATCACTGTACCATTTCTTTACTAAAGATTCTTGTAAATATTTGAATATTTTTCAGTTACATAATTGTTGTGTTTATCAGTCAACTCAATAAAATTCTGTATGATTTAAATCAATATTAATAAAAAAGTGTTCTCTTTTCCCCTTAACTTAACAAAAGAAAGAGGTGAATAACAATTTTTCTTCTTAACACTGAGAAAAAAGTTTCCGAGTATCAGAAGGGGGGGGGGGGGGGGGGTAGGCAAGGTAATTTGAAGTCGGAGAAAAAAGATGGGATGGGGAGGGGAGGCTAGAGGGAGTAAATAGTGGGGGAAAGAAAAAAAGAGGAGAGTGGTTTGGGAGAAATGCTATTCCTCGAAACTTTGTTTGGTATTAAAACTTAGATGTCACCTTAATTTTAACCATTGGCAAATATTGGAAAGAGAAAATATTTGCTTCATACAGTGATGGAAAAAATATCATTAATCTGGGTCTATAAAAAAGAGAAAAGTGTTTAAATATTAAGAAGTTTAAAAAATGCTGGAATATTTTTTTTCTAATAAAGCTTGTTTTTGCCAAGTGAGGAGATTAATTTAATGTCTATCAGGTTTTGACAAACAACTGTGATTGATTTCCTTAAAGAGATGACAGAATCACTCATATTTTGATATTCTAAATCCTGCTTATGGTTTATATTGAGTGTAAATGGAGTAAATATTTACAAGAGAGCTATAAAAAATGGTCTCAAATGGGTAATCAACCAGAAAATGCAATAACTATGGAGGGTAAAATTCTTCTATTGACTGTGAATTAATATCTTTAACAGTAAACAAAGTACTAGATATTCACCTTGAGCACATTTAAAGGGATATTGGCAATATTGTTTTTACCTGGGCTTGTTATGGAAGCATTGGTCACCAAAACATGAGTGCCCTGGAAGTTTCAATAGAGTGAGGTGAAAATCAGATTGATTGGCCATTGATCATGACACTAGGATCCGGTATTTCACTGTTGATTTTTGGGAATTAGCTTATCTCTGCCCACGAGTTGCATGGTTGTGCAGGAAAAATATCTAGTTTAGGATTTGATATCTCTCCAATCAGGAAGCAGCGTGGTGACAACACAGACTCATCATTGTGGTGCTACTTATGTGTAGAGGATATATCTATATTTATATAGCATGCCCATATACTTGTAAATTACTGCACATCCTATATACACAACAATGGAGCACAACGACATTCTTCTGCAAGGAAAATTCTCTATTTTAGGCAAACCTGGAAAAGTTTGCATTGTGGAATTGACAAGTGAAAAACTTCAGTTTCAAGATTTGAGTTGCAAAACTAACGATTGTGAGGGTGTGATTGATATAAGAGATGTGATTGGCTGCCGTATTAACACTGGTGTAAACAAACAGGGTAGTCGTAATATGTGTAACTGTGTTAAGTCTCACGTTGTCTGGGACATGGCCGAGTGTTTACTTTCTATTCATTATTGTCCTAAGACGAAGAAGAAGTTATTTTGTAAATCGTACTATAGACAACACTGCACATTAACTTTAGCCTTAGCACAACACCCGGATTATGATTCTAACAAAATTGTCTGTGAGAAATGGAAGAAGACTATTCTAAGTCTCTCCAAAAACAATAATAATCATATCACAATAGAGACAGGTACTTTTCTGACTGGTCAAATAAAAGTCATGTAATGAAATGAATTTAACTTATTAATAAACATTGTTAAATTTTAATGAATTATAGAGTATGCATTATGCAGCCAGAATTTTGTCCTCCATATGTAGGAGGGGATGGAGGGGGGAGTAGGGATGAAATGCCTGTAAAAGTCATAAACAAAAAGAATGTTTTCAATTTGTAAATGATTTTTTATCTTACATTAAAGATTTGGATTAGTATTCATAATTGTTTAATGCTGGAAACATTTTGCAGGTGATACAAACAAATGCTGATTTTCTATAAGTTTGTCCTGTTTAAGAATTAGTTATGGGCGTTGATAAGAATCATGCATAGCTTTATAACAAACTTCTGAAACAATTGTTTACTCTCCGTTTGCTTATATTTCTTATGTTTGAAAACATTCATCTTTTAACACATCTTTTAGCTTTTGATTTATTGAATGATAAATCATGTTTAATAATTGCAATGGAAGTCATTTATCAATTCTGAGTAATTGCAAGAAATTCTTTTCCATTAGACATAGTCCATTGGCAATATGATGAAAAAGGTATGGCTCACCAACCCATGCATCATCTTGATTAAGAAAAAAAAAGTCCATTACATTTACATACTAATCATATATTGACCGTGCAATATATATATATGCATTCATTTTTCAATATTTACATTTGCTGTGTTTTTCTACTAAGCAAACTGTGAAATTGATTTGAAAGTCATTTTTGTGTATACTCACACGTAGAAATATACACGGAGAAACTCGCGCTAAAGTGACATCACAATGAGGCTACAGAGACGTTAATAAAAATGTAACGATATAGGACAGCAAGAAATTCAGACATTGAGTATATTATTGGTGCTTTCAAACTTGTAAAATGTAAATATAAGGAATGTTTTTAAGTTTAGTGTGAATTATTGGTGTGTAAATCACACAGACTTGCACGTAGGCATATTTTTCATGAAGCGCTAGCGCGCTTCATGAAATATGCCTACGTGACAAGTCTGTGTGATTTACACACCAATAATTCACACAAAACTTAAAAACATTCCTTAATTAGCATTAACACAAGGACCCATGTATAATTTGTCACAGTGATATAACATATATATTAAATTCTTACATAAACATGTTTAACTAGTACATTCTACATATGTTTTACCAGAACGAAGAACATGATGTAATTTGTATGTGGAAAGACTTAAGCAGACTAGGTTAATATGAAGATTTCTGGTTAGAATTGTATTTCAAGATGATATCAATAAATAATTTGCCATATGTGCCCCCCTCCCCCCAACACATACACATTAAAAGAAAAGACAAACATGATGAAAATACATGTTTTTTTAAATAACAGAGAGCATAAAAGCATTTGTACATATTTTTCAGACTTGGAGAACTGTGAAGCACCTCTACAAAGGAAGATTCTGGTGTTAATCAACCCCTTCAGTGGTCCTGGGAAAGCTCGCCAGATCTTTGAGAATGGAGTTTCCAGCATGCTGGAGGAGGCAGACATTTCCTTTAAAATGGTCATCACAGGTGAGTTTTTGAATCAATGCTTCAATGGTTGTAGAGGACAGTGCTGGAATATAGTGGAGGCCAATTTCAAGATATTACATGGATCCAAATACAATTGTTGACAATTAGAAAAGTTATACTGTATAAGTGGAATTTTTAGTGAGAGCCAAATTTAGCAATTTCTTTTTAAAAAATGATATATTATTGTAGCGAGGGGTAATTTTAGTGATTATATACTGCCATGAAAGATAAGTCTTACCTACTATTCAGAATGAATTATTAATGATATTCAATTTTAGTGACCTCAACACTCTCGCTAATAATGTCAAAATTGAATCTTCCCTAAAAAATTCTGCTTATAGGTATGCTGCGCACTGATGCCTCCCTAAATGTTTGGCAATCCTTTTAAGGCATTAAATGTTGTCCACTGAACTAAGTCAAGAGTTGCATAGGACAAGTATTTTTCTTTAAACATGAGTACAAGAATTACTTTATTTTCTGTGCCCCATAATAGAAGATCCAGGGACTTAAAGTTTTTTGTCTGTGTGCTGTCTGACTGTCTACAAAAACTTGAACCTTTCCCAACATTTTTGATTGGCTGGAGCTGGGTCTTTCATATTTCAAATATTTTATTTCTTGTGACAAGACCTTTTTTGGTAGCAAGATTTTTGACCTTGACCTTGGAGTTTGACCTACTTTTAAAGTTTTACCAAATTTTAACCTTGACCATAATTTTTGAACAGATGATGCTAGGGCTTTTATACCGGTACTTCCCATTGTATTCCTTGTGACATGAAATTTCCTCGGATATCAACATTTTTACTTCTTGACCTTGACTTTGGATTTTGACCTACTTTTTAAAAAAAACTTTAATTTTGGACATAAATTTTGAACGGATGATGCTAGGGCTTTCATACTTCACATATGTATTTCTTGTGACATGACTTTTCCTTTGATACCATTTTTTTTTTTTACCTCTTGACCTTGAATTTGGATTTTGACATATTTTTGAAAAACTTCAGTTGGGGTCATAACTTCTGAAGTTGGGCCTAGGGCTTTCATATTTCACATGGGAATTCCCTGTGACAAAACCTTTCTTTGGGTACCAACATCTTTGACCTCTTGATCTTGACCTTAGAGTTTGATTTCAATTGAGAATTTTAACCTTGGCCATAGCTGTCATACGGTGGCATCAGTGTTTCACAAACACATCTTGTTATAAACAAAAATTAGAGTGATGTAATGCTTGCAAGGTAAATATGGTGTCATGATTCTTACCAAAGTTTATTTGGACAAGATGAAGTATTTTTGTCAGGGCCATATGTCATATATTTTAAATATTACCCAGCCATTTTTAATATCTTTTATACGGAAGCCAGTTGGTGCCAGGTAGAAAAAATATTTTATCTGGCAGCCGCCACATAAATAACTGGCAGCTGCAAAATAATTTTCTGGCAGCTGCCAGATAAAAAGATCTGGCGACCACCAGATACCAGGTAACTTATCTGGTGGCCGCCAGATAATTATTTGGCTGCCGCCATATAATTTTCTGGCGGCCGCCAGATAAATAGATCTGGCGGCCGACAGAAGGTTAACTGGTGGCCGCCAGATAATTATCTGGCGGCCGCCAGTTATTTATGTGGTGGCCGCCAGATAATTATTTGGCGGTGGCTAGAAATTTATCTGGTGGCGCCACATAACATATTTTTCTACCTGGCACCTACCGGCTTCCGTAATTTTAGAAGTGAAATTACACAAAATATATATATTTTTCTTTATATATATATATATATTAAAAAAAAATCAACTGTAAATGAAGTAACATAGTCTACTGTGCAATTTGCCTCAGATTATGATCTATTTGTTGACTTAATTATTATTGCACTTATAAGGCCAAACAAAAAAATATGTGTGGTTCCGGTTACACTTCCAAAAAAATTAGGGTAGGTAGGTAGGGATTTTTTTTTTTTTTTTTTTTTTTAACAAAATGATTTTCTTAATTTTTTCTAAATAATACCTATCACTGCTTTGCAAATGGCATTTAGATGTGGTGTGATAATATACTAGTCAATATTGGTAGGGGACACATACATGCTAGCTTGCTTTGGATTTAACACTATTAAACACTTGCACTATGTTTTGCAAGGAGGCCGTCATTGCTGAAACTAAAACTTAACTGGAGCCATTGATGGAAATCGGGGGAAATTCCGCGAAAAATATGAAAATTGCCAAAAAAAGTTTAGGGTCGGGGGTATAAAATGGGAAGGTCGAGTAACCGGAACCACACATATTTTTTTATTTGGCCTAAGGTACATGTAGCATAAAACATGCTTATAGCAAATATGTTAATGAATTCATGCTTGTAACAAAGTGATTTTTTTTCCCCAAGATTGTAAAATTGTGAACTTATACAGAAAAATGGAATTTCATGATGAAACATTATAAGCGTGTTTTACTGTATTTTGAATGAAATTACAGAGGTGCCCAAAATCTGGGTTGTACTAGAGTTCTAAGGGTGTGGTAAAATGAGGGGTGCAAAAACCATGCATATATGATAAGAAAAAAATATATTTTTTCTCTTGTGAAGGCAACAGAGACATAACATGTATTGATCTGAATACATAACATATGCTAATTGATACTAAATATATGTACAATTTTTATGCTGGGTAAACCTGTGCGAACTTCATATTCTACAATATTCTCTGCTGATTCATCACAATAAGACAATTCTATACATTGTCATCAGATTATTGTGTCAACAATCCACTTGGAATTCACTTCCTACTAAACTATTCTGGTATTTCACAGTACAGAGTAAAATTGTTCATTCATATCGTGTGTGAATTGTTACAACACATTGATCTTTGTGACAGATTATGAGTGGATATAAATACAGGGTTCGACAAATTTAAGTGAATTTATAGATATCAAAAGACAATTATTTTTAAAGCAAAGTTTTAAAACAAGTAATAAAATTGATTTCTTTTGTCTGTAGATTTATGGAGATTGAAGAACAATACATATGAGAAATTTATTATACACCCCAGCACACACAAACATGTTGAGGGGGGGGGGGGGGGGGTTATATAGGAATCACCTTGTCTGTCTGTCTGTCAGTCCTCTTGCAATCTTGTCTGGGCTATAACTTTATTATGGAGAATCATTGGAAGCTTGAATACTTAGTACAGAGATTACTTCTGAGGTTGTGTTATGACATTGACCCAGGCTATTCCATTAAGTTCAAGGTCAATGGCAGAAAAAGTACAAAATTTGTTTCTGGTCTCTAACTTCCTAACGGAGAAACATTGGAAGTTCCTACCTCACATAAAGATTGCTTATGACCTAAAGGTATTTTTTGACCTTAATGCTAGGTGATTTGATCAAGTTCAAGGTCACATTTGAAAAATGCATATTTCCTGTCCTGATCATCTTGCAATGGAGAACATTAGAGGCTCATACTTATCACAAATATTGCCTGTGACCTAGGGATATGTATTGAGCTTGACCCAGGTTATTTCAGCAAGTTCAAAGTCAATGGCAGAAAAAGTACATTTTTGTGTCTGGTATATAACTCTCAAATAAAGTCTTATTGGAAGTGTATACTTAACACTGAAATTGTTTATGACTAAAGGGAGTATCTTGATCTGACCTATCATGGTAACTTTATTTATAAGTTCAAGGTCACTGGTGGAAAAATCATCAAATTCATATTCAGTCTATAACTTTCTAATGGAAAAACATTGGAAGTTCATATTTCACAAAAATATTATTTATATCTTGAAAGTGTTTCATGACCTTGACCCAAGGTTATTCCGGCAAGTTTCAGGTCATTGGCAGGAAAAGTGTCAAATCTGTGTCCAGAACATTATACTCTAATAGAGACATATTTGAGATTGAAATTTAAAACAAAGATTATTGCTGAAGGTATGCCACATTAAACCAAGGTCATTGTGGCAAGTCACTGGGATGTATCAAATTTATGTTGGGTCCATAATTTTCTGATGGAGAAACATTGGAGGTCAATAACTCACTCAAAGATTACTTATGACCATAGGATATGTCGCTTCTTTAATCAAGATCATTTGGGAAAGGTCAAGGTCAACACTTTATATGGGCACTTTAAAAAAATGATGTGGGGGTATTATTTATGAGCTCACTCACAGTACCTCAAGTTTGTTTTATTTCTCCATGTGGTTAACTAATATTTTTTTACTTCCAAATATCTAGAATGAATATCTTTCTTTTGACAGAGTATGCTGGTCATGCTACAGAGATGATGAGGAGTCTGGATTTGTCTGCCTGGTATGGTGTGGTCATAGTATCAGGAGATGGACTTATATACGAAGTATGCATGAGTTCTATCAATAATTTTACTTTTCGTAAAACACTGCCTGTATTTAAATATTTAATTTTTAAAAAAAGGAAGGATTTCTTTCCTAGAATTTTTTTACTAAGTGACCTTGACCTTTAACCTTGCAGGTAATCAATGGTCTAATGAGCAGGGCTGACTGGGAGGTGGCTATTAATTTCCCAGTTGGTTGTTTACCCGGTGGATCAGGGAATGCCCTGTCTCTAAATATAAACTATCAAGCAGGGTAAGGAGGAAAAGATCAAAATTTCTGTGACATTTAAAAAATCCTTTTTTACTATATATATTTTATATAATATATATATTTAGGGAATGACTGTCTGATTTATTGGTTTCATGATGTGATCAAGCAATTGGCTTGTGTGATAATTTGCTTAAAATTATCACGCAAGCCAATTGCTTGATCATAATCATGAAACCAAAAAATCTGACAGTCATTCCTTATATTTACATGCTGTTGATTCTGTAAATTCATGTGCTACAAGCCCCGCCAACTTCTGTCTCTCTCTGTCCTGCCCCCTAACCATGCCTGTCAGTGAACCAGTGGCTTTATGTAGAAATCAAGTACTTTTTTTTACTATTTATAGTTTTATCTTGAACAAAGAAATTTAAAAATGTATATATTAGAAAATAAAGCCATAACTGATATCTGTACGATATGGCTTAGTTGGTGCATGCACTATACTGTGCTAATTTTCACCTTTTCTGTAATGTAGTCCATGAACTGTACACATACATATGATATGTCAATATTTGTTTGCTAGATAAATTAGTAATATACAGGCTGTGTTGCTGTATGTATATATATAGAATGACAGTAGGACAGAAGTCTGGTCATGGTCACTAAGGACAATGTTAAATTTTTGACCTATTTTTTTTTTTATGTGGAGTGATCATCTTTTGCAGAGATTGTCATGTTTTGATAAAGGGGGAAAAATATGGAGATTAAAGTTTATAGACATCATCTATAAGGAAAGGGATTTTTCTTTTTCAAACACATTGTACCACCTATGTCAATTTCAATGAGAAATTGCTAATAGCATGTTAGATTGTCTTCTGAGATAAACAATGATTATAAAAAAATGTTGGTGTGTTTCTTAGGTTATGCAGTATAATACAATTACAAGTCAAGATCATTATGAGTGTCATATTGGAAACCATCATAAATTCTACTGGGGCCCTCAATAACAGATTTAAACCCCATTCAGAACTACTTTTATTTTAAGTAGCTTCTCTACAGATTTCATATTATGCAGAATTCTATGAATAAGTATGATTTACTGAACTCTTAAGCCTCTCAAAAATTATACAATGTATAAATTCAACAGGAAATCAATAATGCATCATAAATATATCGTGTCGGTGTACAATAGTGAAATTTTTTTCAGGGAGCCTGTAGATTTGAACCCTATTCTTCACTCCACCTTTGTGTTAATAAAACACCGTGTCATCCCAATGGACCTGGTGCTGGTACAGATCCCCGGGAAGCAGATGTACTCCTTTCTGTCAGTCACCTGGGGCTTGGTAGCAGACATTGACTATGAGAGCGAGCGATTGAGAGTTCTTGGGGCTTCCAGATTTACCCTCTATTTCATAAAGCGAGTTGTCAGTAAGTAACTCATCTCAATCAAAGACAGAAAATGACAAGAACATGCACAGAAGAAAAATCAGAGGGTGATGTCCCAATGATAATGTAGCATTATTCCAAGTTAATATGAATGGTTATACTGCATTACAAAGCTCTGCTCTGCTATTAACTGAAGTCTTAAGCAATATTCATTTTGAATCAAGCAGAGAGAATCTATGAAGTAATTAAGATACATCTGTACCATTTTCATGAGAAATAATGGGGATGTATGTAATATGTACATGTACCTGTATTCATATATATGTTTTACTTAGAACTCTCCTTTATTTTAGGTCTTCGGAAATACAGAGCTAAAGTTTCATTTCTTCCCGTTACCCCTTATGAACCAGGTGCCAAAAATCAGAAAGAGAGGGCAGTGAAATGTTCCCGTCCTCGACGATTTACGATGATTAGAAACTCTACTACACAACGCAACATCAGTTCCTCTGTTTACGAGGGTGGGGTACAAGGAGTGTACACAGAAAAGTCTTCATCTCATTCCTTACCACGACTTCGGTCCAAATCCATGCCTGCTGTGAAAACCATCAGTGAAACAAATGGAGACATATCAGGGTATGAAGAGCATGACAATGTGATGTTTGAGCTGGATGATTCTGATGAATGTTTTACTTCAAGTCTGCCAAATGGTGATCATGTAAAAGATGACAATGTTAGTACTGAAAGTGAAAATATATTTGAAGAAATGGTGCATACATTAAACAATGATGGAAAACCCCTTCAGGCACCCCTGTTGGCACCTCTGGAGGAGGAGGTTCCATCAAATTGGGTCACAATAGAAGATGAATTTATCACAGCATGTGCCCTATACCAGCCTTATCTAGGCCCCGACAACTTAGCTTCACCTGAATCCAGACTTAATGATGGACAGATTCATCTTCTTATTATCAGAGCAGGAATCCCGAAATCTGCTCTTGTGAACCTATTCCTTTCCTTTGAAACGGGGGACCATATAAGCTCACCGTATGTAGAAATGATCAAAGTCTTAGCCTTTCGGTTAGAGCCCATGGGAACTGAGGGCAATATAATGGTAGATGGGGAGCATGTGGACTATGGACCAATTCAAGGACAGGTGCTCCCTGGGATAGCAAGAATTATGGGAGTTCAATGACCACTTCCTGTGATAGCTAGGGCCATTTTAATATTTAATCATGCTGCACTTTTTTTCAAATCTTAGATAGGTTTTATTTTAATTCATGAGAATTGAATGATTTTCTTTAGATTCTTGGTTGCAAGGTCAGAGACCTTGCAGTGAATTTTGAGAAATAACATGCCTGAATCTTTGCAAGTTCAAAGACCTGATTAAAATGTTTTATCTCTGAAAATTCATTGAAAAAGGGATGTGTGTAAGCTGATTATAGTTTCCTTCTAAGGAAATGAATACAGAATTCAGAACAATTAAGAGTACAGGTGTACTGAATTTCATTTTTGTGATCATGTATTTATTTCATTGTTAATTTATTTGATTTGTAATTCGACAAATTAATTTATGTGTGTTTATTTTGAAACAATATATGGATGAAAGAAGCATTTATTTCATGTAAAAATATGACATATTATTACATGTATATATATTTACATGTATAAAGATTTGTTGCATTTTGTTGCAATGCTTTATTCATAAAAAACAATTTTTGCCCAAAGTTGATTACCGGTGTCATATAATATATTGAACCCCGCGATATTTTAAACCCGGGTTCAAAATATTGCTGCGAAATATTGAACCCCCCTATAAAATATTGATCCTGGGGTTCAAAATATTATGGCCATAATATTTTGAACCTGGGGTTCAAAATATTATAGCCTTAGGGCCATAATATTTTGAACCCGGGGTTCAATATATTATGGCCATAGGGCCATAATTTTTTGAACCCCAGGTTCATTAAATTATAGCATTATGGCCATAATATTTTGAACCCCCATTACAGACATTCTCTGTTTCAAGCATAGGGGTTCCTGAGATTATGGCGTTGAAATGTTGTACCTCCTAATTTTAATTTTTTTTTTGGTAGGTTGGGGTGGAGGTTTAAGCTAGAATTTATGGCTGTAAAATGTTGTACCCCCTATTAGACATATATGTGTATAGGAGTGTGTTTAAAAATTATTGACTTAAAATAATTTTTGAATGGTAAGAGGGGATTCAAGATATTATGGCAGTGAAATGTTCAACCCCACCACATTTTATAAGGGGTTGAAAATATTGTGGATGTGAAGTATTGAACCTCCATTTAAAGACTACTATGGAAAAGGAAGTGAAAGTATTTAACACCCGTCTCCCACACACTCACCTTGATTTAATTGTTAGATCTTGAGGGTTGGGTATCTCTATATTAAAATTATTTTTTTTCTAATAACTGTGCAATACCTAAAGAAGTGAGAGTAAAATAATATAGCCAAAATATTGAAGTCTGAAATTGTCACCAGGAAATTAAAAATAATTGTCTTTTATCATCAAACCCCAAATATTCTACATCAAATAACTAAAATAACTTGATATGTCTGATGGAAAAACAATTATGAGATATTTATTTCTTTGTCTTTTATCCCATCCCAAAAGGTATTTATTTATTTTCTTTAATTTTATTATTTTTGTATAATTTTCAATTTGAAAAAAGAAAATTCAAGGAGCAATGTAGTATCTCTCCATTGAGGAGGTAACAGGGATATAGTACCTGTGTATTATGTGTACACAAGGAGGTGTCATTGGAGGTCAACAATACCCACTGTCTATTGTTTCCCTTTGATGGTTTCTGTATTATCACTATACAGTGTTTAGAGAGTGTACAAATTGAGTAGTCCCTCATAAATTAAAAGGGTAGGGGACTCAATATTTTATGGTCATAATATCTTGACCCCCCCCCCCCCAGTTAAATTGAAAGGGTAGGGGACTCAATATTTTATGGTCATAATATCTTGAACCCCCTCCATCTTAAATTGAAAGGCTAGGGGGACTCAATATTTTATGGTCATAATATCTTGAACCCCCTCTCTCTTAAATCTAAGGGGTAGGGGACTCAATATTTTATGGTCATAATATCTTGAACCCCCCTCTCTCTTAAATTAAAAGGGTAGGGGGACTCAATATTTTATGGTCATAATATCTTGAACCCCCTCCCTCTCAAATTAAAAGGGTAGGGGGACTCAATATTTTATGGTCATAATATCTTGAACCCCTCTCCCTCTTTAATTAACAGGGTAGGGGACTTGATATTTTAAGGTCATAATATTTTGAACCCCCTCCCTCTTAAATTAAAAGGGTAGGGGACTCAATATTTTATGGTCATAATATTTTGAACCCCCTCCCACTTAAATTATAAGGGTAGGGGGACTCAATATTTTATGGTCATAATATCTTGAACCCCCTCCCTTTTAGATTAAAAGGGTAGGGGACTCGATATTTTATGGTCATAATATCTTGAACCCCCTCCCTCTTAAAATGAAAGGGTAGGGGACTCAATATTTTATGGTCATAATATCTTGAACCCCCTCCCTCTTAAAATAAAAGGGTAGGGGACTCAATATTTTATGGTCATAATATCTTGAACCCACCGGGTTCAATATTTTATAAGGGGGTTCATTATATCGCAGCAAAAAAATGAACCCGGGTTCAAAATATTATGCGATATATTGAACCCGGGTTCAATATATCGTGGTATCAAAATATTATGCTACACCGGTATTTAATCAGTTGGTAAGAAGTCTTATACAGTTAAAACAAGATTTATTAAGGACAAGGATTTTTTTCTATTAAACTATTAAAATATACATCAATATGATAAATATACTGTACATATTGTAGGTAAAAATGATATTTCTTTTATTTGATCATAGCAATGCCATAAACTACAAAGTTATTTTCTGTAAATTTTGAAACTGAAGACAAAATTTGTAATTTTTCTAGTCTAAAAACTTAAGATTGTAACAATAACAACACTATCAAGTCTACCAGGGTTCATGAAAAAATTGATGTTGGAATACAATTGTAAAAGAAAAAACATATTTACTTTATATCTTGAACACCGATATCTCGAATACCATGGATATGTAGAAGTGATTTGGAAGTCCCAATCACATATTTTAAAGATTTTATCCTTGATATGTTGAATCCTCAGATATCTCGAAGTTTTTTCTCGGTCCAAACAAGTTCAAAATAACAAGGCTTGACTTCATTATATTTTATCTTTAAATACAATTAGGAATAACTTTCTTGATATCTGGACTGTTATATTGATGACATCATCATTTAACAGATTTTTACTGACATTAAGTTTATGAGGGGCCATAATTATAGGATCTTTGGATTAAGGGACCATTATTTAGAAGTCAAATATTATGAATTTATGGTGTACTGTTGAGGTACTAATAGTAAGGCCTAAGAAAAAAGATATGTTTCTTTCCAGTTATCCGACCAACCCTAATTATAATTTTTTTTACGGTACATTGTAAAATCTGGAAATTACGTCTGTATGTTTTCCTTTCATTGACGAACATAACAGTTTATAGGGCATAAGGATCACTTTTTAGTACATTTAGCCATTTTTAGAGCTGTTGGTAGATAGTTTTTATATAAAAAAAGAAGATTTTATGGCTTTAGAAAAAGAGAGCTACAAACTGTCTTTAACATTTGTATTTCAAAGTTATGCCTTTAGGTAAAATACAAAATTTAAAAAATTAAAACAAAGCCCTACCTACCAACCCTATTTTTTATTAGCATGTAATAGTGAACAAATGTCACGGGGTTCACAGGTGTGTGAAAGTCAGTCAACATATTGGGTCTCAATAGCTCAGTGGTTAGAGTGCTGGCACAGTACGCCAGAGGCCCTGGGTTAGAGTCCCAGATGAGACTTGATTTCTCACCACCAGTGACACAAACATGTTTCTGATGGCCTTAATTTGCTAAAGACTTTCTTGTGTTTTTCTGCTGTCAATTTTCCATAATATAGCAGAGATTTTTTTTTATAGTCAATCTACATAACTAGAATTATCTTTGTAGAGGAGAAGTACATATTTATGAAGAAAACATTTCCATGACAATTTTCTGTGATAGATTTATATACATTTAGATTTAATATATACATTATTGAGTTCAATCTGTTGTCATGACATAAAAATTGTATGACATAATAAGCAAGCAGCATTATATATGTTAACTATTGTACAAGGTGCAAATGCTGGAAAAATCATCCTGGTGCTTGAAGAAGCTCATTATAAATGTGTAACACATTGCTTTCTTGGAAGATTTTTTCATTGTCAGCTTCCTTGTTTATAAGTGCTGTTTGTATCATTGTCAATAAGTAATAGACTTAACATATTCTGGGCATTAAAGAAATTCTTATATATATATACATACAAGGCAAAGTGTAGTACTTTGAAAATTTAAAACATCATTGTGTGAAAAAGCAGTTAACAACAACAATTAAAGACCACATAGTGATCATGAACTATACAGTACCATTACTGGTAAATAACACTGAACATGTCTAATATACTTTAAAATTATATTAAGTAGATTCAATTTAGAAATTTAAGAAGAAGATAAAAATTGAACTATTTTTGGAATCACCTGCTCAATAGAGATGATAATGATAAAATCCATTTAAAAAAAAAAAAAGAGTCAAATATGATATATCAAATTAAGTGATCTAAAGTGATATCTAGTGCCTAGGATTATTTTTGGCACAAAGCCCAAACAGGTAAATCTGTGTGAATAGAGTATATTTATTCCCTATATTGAATTCTGAAAAACTTTATTATTTGATGACCCAGTTTTAATATATTTGATGAAATCAAAGTCAAAAGCAAACTCCACAATATACTTAGTACTATTCTTATTTGGCTCAGCAAAAATTTACACCTGTCAAACAAGCCACTCTACACTGCTTGTCAGTAGAGAGGTTAAGAATTCTCGAACATTTATCTTTATCTATAGTTTACTGTTCCATAACCACCAGATAGAGGAGATGTGTACACTAAGATCATGTAAGGGAAAGTAAATAATTTGTACTTGGTAAGCCCAGTCCAGAAATTTTTTTTTTGTGTTAATACGAGTGCTTATATAAATAGGCAGACTTGAAATATTGGCTTTTACATCGTCTTATTGCTTTTTGTCGCTATGCTTGATATTTAATATTGGTAATGTTAAATTGATAGAAATGTGTTTTTTGCAATAATGTTGATTATCCAGATATGCATGTAGATAATCCACACATTGATTGTTGGCTTTTATTTGTTAAAAGAGTCAAGTGAATTTAATTTTATATTTAGAAAGAAAATCAAAATATGTTTTACTGTATAAAGAAACTTTTTGAAACTTACTCTGGTGAGCAAGTGTTTTCTTTTTCGAATTTTTTTCTGTGGTTTATACTTTGTTCTGGGAAGAATTCCTTTTTTTAAACTTTCATTATTTGATTTACAAGTACAATTAGTCCTATGTCACATATTTGTGAGTCTTTGTAGTACGTATGTTTATAATTATTGTACAAGCACAACGAAAATCATACACTCTGTAGCCGGGCTTTTGTGGACTCGAGTGTATCATGTCTATATACTGAATGTTTTCTTCCTGAAATAAAAACAAAGGACATAAATACTCATTCCCTCCTGTACTTCAGGGGTATATATACTTATCAGCATTTATTAAAAACTTTGTTATCAATGTTGTCAACAGCTTTTGTCTCTATTTCTTAGTGTTCTAATTTTTGAACTATGCAAATAAAAATTTTGCTTTATCTTGAGTAAGCCTAGATTTGATTTTATGAAGTGCTCTCCATTTCATTGCAAGAGTTCAAGTTTCTGTGTCCAGCTGCATGTATTTATAATACCTGTAAGTCCCAGTTGATGATACCATGTTTGGTTGAAATATACTCTTGATTAAAATTTACTTACTACTTTACTTACTTACTAGGTTTATTTATCTTATTCAACAATAGAACAAAAATTAGGCCAGGGACAATAGTGTAACTGTCACTTATGAAATCTGAGAATTTAAAGGGGGATGCGTGTGCTGGTTCCCCAAATCCCTTCTGAATCTACCAGAGCTTAGTATAAATGAATATTTTTGGTGCTTATATGAAATTGGTGCAAAAACAACTGCATTTGGAGATGCCAAAATTGGTTCATTAAATACTTTCTCTTTCGGAGAAAAAAAAGCCCCCCCCCCCCCCTTTTTTAATGATTTATAGTTGGTGCAAATTTGTCAGTTCTATTTAATATATCAATATATATAAAGAAATCTGTTTTAAAAAAAAAAGAAGAAAATTTTTTTATAAGATAAAATGGTGCAATGCTGCATATTTAGGTCTGAATGTGTGTTTTGTGATAAAGAAAATCACAGGTGATTGGTATCCATCCATAATTTAAAAAAATATATATTGTCATATAAAATTTGAATTTGGATAAAAATAATACATGTACTTACATGCAATACATGTAGCTTCTACAGTAAAATTTAATATGAACAGTAGTTTTACCTTGTAAAAGAATTGAATTGATAATTGAATATGATGTGTGCAATCTATTGTGCAACCAAGAATGTAACAATGAATTTGTATTGTCTCTGATCTACATGTATTTTAATTTCAATACCTAAAAACACTTGCATTTATTTATCAACACAGTTATATAAATTGGAATCATTTGTATGACAAAAGTTGAAAACAAAACTGACTCGTTGTTGTGGTTATAAGGACCTTTGAACTGTTGTGATCAATAAATGTTGAATTACAGATTATTCATGTGTTTTCTCTTCATTAAATAAATTTCATATTGAAGGCTATCAAGTGACATACAGGGTCCCCCAGTTTTAAAAGATAGACAGCTATAATGATGAGTGGTACATCGTAGAAAAGATTGCAGTTAACAGCGTTACTTTTAGTAGCAATATCCACAGTGTAGGAAAATATCTACTGGTCTATCTGTATAGTATTTCATAATGCAGTCTGGTTCATAACTGAAGTTGTACCTCTTTTACAAATAGATGATTGGAAAGACAGACACAGTCATTATTGTAGGGCACTTGCATTATATAGACCTTCAGTGTGCTTGGGGCACTTCCATACCATCACTCAATACCTCATTGACCTTAATACAGCATCTTTCTAATGGTCATATTGCAACATATCCAAATAACAACCCCATTAATTAAGAAATGTGTAAATGCTGCCATTTGATTTTCTCCAAAGATAGCAATAAAATTCTAGTTTTCATTTTACATTTTTAATGATTTTCACCTTCAATTTTTTTGACTGAACTGCAACATTCTCTTAAACAAAAAATATGTCCATAAAATTTGAATGCCCTACCAAGGGTTATTAGTAATGCAATATAAAAATGAATGGACCTTGCTTCTTTGTTTAATATTTGGGTAAATGAAGAATAGTGAGGTCAAGGTCATAGGGAGGGTTAGGGTCAGAAAACTATGATACAGTTGAATAGCTCTCACCAATTTGAATTAGGGTGTGAGGTTTGGTGAAAATATCTTGAACAGTTTCTTTTAAACTGAGTTTTAACAAAATAGTAAAGGCAAAGATCAAAGGGAAGGTCAAGGTAAAAAAAAAAAAACTGGACACAGTTGATAAGTTGTCATCAATTTGTATCAGTGTATGTGTTTACATAAAAATATCTTCAGCAGTTTCTTTGAAACTGAGCTCAATACAAATAAAGAAAAGTAAGTCGAGGTCATACATTTTGAATATAGTTAAGTAGTCCGCTATGATGTGTATATATATATGTGTTTAGATAAATCATTATTTATCTTGAATAGTTTCTTTGAAACTGAGCTAAATGTAAAATAAAATGGCAAGGTAAAGGTCAATTTTAATGCAGTTGAATAGCTCTTCCTAGTATGAATGAGAATATAAAGTTTCAATGATAAAAAATATCTTGAATAGTTTTTATTTTTTTTTTTTTTTTTGGAAACTGACTTTAATGCTAATTTAACAAAAAGTGAGGTCAAAGGGAAAAAAGTGGGTAAAATTGTTTTCATGTAAAGGAATAGCTCCTACTAATAAGTATCAACATATGAAGTTTGATAAAAATATCTTGAATGGTTTCGTTGAAACTGAGCTTAACACAAATTAAAAAAAAGTGAGGTTAAGGTCAAAGGGAAAGTCAAGGTAAAAAAATAGCTCTCATCAATATGTGACACCATATGAAGTTTGATAAAAATATATTGAAAAGTTTCTTTTAAACTGAGCTTAACGCAAAGTGTGGTGGATGGACAGACAGAAGGATGGAAGAACGGACATGACAAACACTATATGCCCTGACCATATTCATGGCAGGGCATTAAAATCTTTAAACATTAGCCCTCATACACTCAGGTGCCTTACACTTCCTAATCCATTAAAAAAGAAAATACATAATATGTGGAATCTATTCAGATAGTATTTATGTGTACACATTCAAATACAAAATACAATGCATCGCAGTTAGATTAAATACAAATGTATAAAAGTAAAATAAAGAACATAATGTAAAAATTGACAAAGGTTTATCACAGACTAGCTATCATATAACTATGAAGAAGTAATTGAAATCCACAGCCTTAATGACAAAAAACTCCTCCCCAAAATTGTCATCATGATTCATTTAAGATGATCCCGGGCCGGTATGATCTCAAAAAGACATCTGATTTACGCAGCACAGTAGTATCTGATTGGTTGATCAGAGTTGGTGGGTGGTGCTATATGTCATGACTTGGAGTTGGAGCCACTGTAGGGCATGTGCTTCAGTGTATACAAAAACATGCTTTGTTCCTCAAGGTATTTCTGATCCTGAAACAAGAAGGAGAAACTTGTCAACTTTAAAATATTAATCAACATGTTAAAAGTCCACAGTGATAAATTTCTGTCATATCTTGATTTAAGGTTATATCTCAAAGGTCCCTGTAGCAATTAGGCTAGAAATTTTGTTCATATTTCTGATGCCATAAAAGAGAAAGACTTGTCTTTACTTGTTCAGACTGAAGTGATGTGTCATATCCATGAGACAAGAATATCTCCCAAGTCAAGGTCGTTGAAGGCCTTGGTAACTCAAACAATAAATGCTCTTATCTAGTCCTGCATCAAGCCTCGACTTATGATTATATCTCAAAGGTAAAGGTCATTGAAGTGAATGAGTAAAAAAAATAGTTCCATCTCAATGATATTAGAAACAAAGATGACAATGTATTATATTACAGTTGTTAATGCATTGATGGTGTGTCACAACACTGACTCTAAGATCAATATTAGCCTTTTTTTTATCATGTACCTTTAATGCCTCCATTTTCCACATGCGTATTGAGCGATCTGCCTTAATGGACTCAGTAATGGAACCTACAGAGTTCAAAGATTGCTGCATAGCTGGGTTGCTCTGTTGCATAGCCTGGTTGCTCTGTTGCATGGCAGGGCTTCTGTAGACTTGGTAAGTTGGTGCATTGCTGTTCTGAGGTATCATCATTTGTTCTCCACCTGAGATTGAGATAAGCCATATTAAAATTCATTACTGTATACATACAGTCAAACCCTGTTATCTCTAACTCAATGGGACCGAGAAAAAACTTCGAGATATCCGAGGATTCGAGATATACAGGGTAAAATACTTAAAGAAAAAGGGATTGGGACTTCCATATCACTTCGACATATCCATAGTATTCGAGATATCAGTGTTCGAGATACCGTAGTTCAACTTTATCATAAATTTAGCATTATTATTGTCTAACATTCAGACATTAAAAGCCAAATGTGCTCAGTGTTTTTTGTTAACTGGGTATGATGATTTTTCATATCAACTCTGTAAGGGTTGCAAAAACTGAAAAGTTTTGACAAAATATACCCTGTACATTATTCCAGACAGAGCCATTACACTCACCCTGAGGCTTAATTCCTGCTCCACCAGGTGTTCGACAATTAGGACAGAGCATGGCACTTTTTAAGTTTTCTACTTCCTTCTTCTCTTTAGAAAGACGAAGACGGTCCTAGAAATTCAAAATCAGCAGGAATTATTTCTACTTTCTCAAACAAAGCTAACCACAACTTCAAAGATTTTTCTAAAAAATTAAGCATTTAAAAATTGTCTTCAATATCTAAAAATTTCCATGTAACGTGTAACTTTAACGTAAATTAAAATTCAACATAAAATACAAAACAGTGGCAAAATCTGATTAACAAATTCTTTCTTACATCAGCAATCTCCCTTTCTTTTAGCCTGAGTAGCTGAACTTGATGTTGTATGCTGGCTGCCCTCTCTGATTCTTCACTCTCAATCTTCTTAGCCTCAATCAGAGCACTTCTTCCTTCCTCTTGCTTAGACTGAGATTCCTGTTAAAAAAAATTCTGCACTTAAAATCAATACTGTATATGTAAAAATTAGTTTGTTGATATCACAAGAAATGAAAAAGGAAATACAATATACATGTACATACCAAGCAAACAAGGCTATTTAAAATATGGTAAGCAAAAATTCCTCTCTCCTTTTTTTCAATCTTATTAGCAAAATTAATCAATAGTCATTAAATTTAACAATAATACAGTAAAACACAGTTATAGCAAACATGTTTATAATGAATTCATGCTTACAGCGAAGTGATTTTCATTCCTATTAGTTTTAAAACATATTGTGAACTTAACGGATATAGGAAATTATGTTTATAACGAATCAAAATTCTTTGTCCTTGGCACTTCACTACAAGCGAATGTTTTACTGTATTAAGATTGCGTACAGATCTGAAAATTCTGATGTCCCATTATAGAATAGCATCTTCATCACAACTAATGCCACATGTATCCATACTGGCCCTGTTAATATTCTCCTTGAACATTTTTTTTTATGAGAGGGCTATTTAAATAATCATTATAAGAATACCAGAAACTGACCATATACATCTGGTCGACCTCCTCCGACCTCTCCTTCAGGGTCTGAGCTGCTCGGATTAGATCCTCTTCTTTCTCTGACATCTTGGCTTGTTCCATCTCCAGCTTCCTCCTTTCGTTGTCAAGACGATCCTCCTCACGCTGAAGTTCCTGACGACGAATATTCTGTTTGTTCTTCTCCTCAGATATTGCCTTCATCAGAGCTTCAAATTCTGCCTTAGCCTAAATTGTATTTTTTTTGTTATTTTTCATGGAATTATTTGCAATTATCTTTTTAAAAAAAACCCCTCTATTTACTGTACTGTTTGATGTGTTTATTTTAACCTTTTAATTCTGAAAGTATCAGAAATACACCTGCTCCTAAGTTACATGTATATATACACGAAGACAATTATATTATCCAGAACCTTGGCCATTACAATTAATTTATCTTACCTGTGCCAGTTTGACCATATTTATTTTACCTGTGCCAGTTTGACCATATTTATTTTACCTGGCCAGTTTGACAGCTTGGACAAATTGGCCAGTTTGACAGCTCACATATCCATATTTATGCTGTCTTTTGATCTCACCTGGGCCAGTTTAACAGCTGCGTCTTCTGCATCTTCCCTCTGGACAGTGAGAGCCACATTGAGTTTGGTTCTCTCCTCGGCTACAGACTGTCTCTCTTTGTGTAGTTGTGACAGGACAGATTTCTGCTCCTCCAGCAAGGTCTCCTGTATGAAAAAAGAGAGAAATAAAAGATCTTAGATATGTTTTATCACTCTCTGACCTATTTATTGATAAGTTCTCTCCGTAATAGACCTCTCTTTGGACTGTTACTGACTGACTTACATTAGTTCAGTCCATCTGGTCACCTATTTACTGACTTACTATATTGGTCCTATTTTTGTCCTTTTATCATAAACTTATCCTTATTTCCAATATATAGGGCCTCTCAGTAGCCTGTTTTCACTATATTTCCCTTGTCTTCATAATATTTGACCTCTCTCTCACCTTTTTTCTGACACCCCTGTCTTGTCTTTCTTAGAGAACCTCTCTCTCTCTGGCCTCTTGTTAACTAACTTACCCTTGTTTTCTCTATATTGGGCCCCTTTACAGCCTGTCATTTACTGACTTATTCTTGTTTTACCTACATGTATATTAAGACCACCTGTTATTCAAGTAGACAGTCTTCTCTATTATTTATTGACTTATCCTTACCTTCTGTTAGACCTCTCTGTTACCTGTTGTTCAGTACATAGCCTCCTCCATTATTTACTAACTCACTACAGTAACTGTTTTCTCTATATTGGAGCTCATTCATGCCTGTTATTAATTGACATACACTTTTTTTCTCTATATTGGACCTTTCTCTGCCTGCTATTTATTGCATTACCCTTGTATTCTCTATATATGTATTGAATCTCTCTCTGGCCTGCTATTTACTGACTCATTCTTGTTTTTTTTTCTATATTGGACCTCTCTCTGGCTTGCTTTTTACTGTATGCAGGGTTATTTTCACCCCAACTTATTTTTGCCCTTTTATACCTGAAAACAATTTTGCCCATTTAGAATTTGCCCAGACACCATTCTGTTTAAGAGATCATGCTGTTTTCTTTGAATTCGCCCAATTGCAATGAGGGCAAAAGGGGCAAAAGTAAAACGGAGGCGAAAATTTCCCTGTATCCCTTGTTTTCTTATATTGGACCTTTCACTGGCCTTCTATTCACTGACTTACCGTTGTTTTCTCTGTATTGGGCCTCTCTCTGGCCACCTATCACTGACTTACTGACTTTCTCTATATTGGACCCTTCTCTGGCCCTTATTTTACTGACTTACCCTGGTTTTCTCTATATTGGACCTCTCTCTGGCCTGCTGTTCAGTCCACAGTCTTCTTTCTTCCTCTAATGAGGTCTGTAAACTTTGTAACCTTGTTTGTTCTTGCTTGACCTTCCATCTTTCCTACATATTGCATCAAATAAACCATAAAATATTAAATACACTTGAACTTCGGTATATTGAATACCGGTACTATGGATATCAAAGTAATATTTCAGTCCCAACTACTTATTCTTTAAGTATTTTACCCTGGATATCTTGAATCCTTGTATATCTCGAAGTTTTTTCTTGGACCCATCAAGTTCGAGATAATGAGGTTTGACTGTATCATTTTAGCAAGTAAAATTTTTACAAGTTTTCCTGAATAAATATTTTTGATTTTCAAACCATACCTTCCAACTCATTCAAGTTGTTTTTTTTTTTTTTTTTTTTACCCCAGAATGATTATATCTAGACAGTCTTGCATTAATTATTTAACAGCAGTTAAAAAATTGTCATTACAATGTCTCTTTCATAAAAGAAACTGACCTCATCCAGTATCCTTGTTTGTTCACGGAGTTGAGTTTCCAGTCGACCAATCAGATCCTCCAACCTTTTCCGTTCTAGATCATTCTCCTCCTGTTGTCTATTCAGACGCTCCTGCAGTACTACAAAACACAACAGCTATACAAGAAGGGAAGGTCACAAAATTTGTTTCTTCACGGCTGAAGCATGAATCTAAGGACACCATTACAAGACTTATTGTTGAACTCCAAGCTGTCAGTAAAGAATCTGCATGGACCTATCCCTAACTCTTGCCAGATACCAATTCTGAGTTAACTTTTTTTAACTTACTTCTGAGCTGTTCATCCTTTGAGCAGATAGCTATCTCCCGTTCATCCAGCCCCATGTTGTGCCAGCTATCCACCTTCTTTTGTAGCTCCCCCAAGTCTCTGGCATTATTTTGTATCATAGACACTGCCTGGACTAAGGACCTAAATACAAAGAAAAAATTATAAATGAGGATTCTATCATTGAGATACAACTAAAGACTGTATTATATAAATGCTAGATTCTATCACTAAATCAAAACCATGGCCTAATCACACTAAAACAATAACAGTTATACATATATAATCATTGCTCACTATTTACAGCACCAAATAGGACTACATTTTTGCAAGTTAACTATTACAATAGGGAGTCTACAAAAAATCATATCAGAAAAAAAAACTTCCAACAAGACAACAAATATTGCTGAAGATAGATTTGTTTACAAGATACTGTAAACCAACTTTTATTTGAGTGCGAGAAATAACTGCAAGTTTTGCGACCATCTTTCACACACAATTACCATATTTCTCGACGCAAAACACTGATTTCCTTGTGATTTATATAAAGTACATGTATTTCCTCACTCGCAAAAATTAGTACAGGTAAACTTCGGTATCTCGACATCGGATATGTCGACAACCTGGGATATGTCGACGTCCGTCCGCGGTCCCGGCAGTATTTACTATATAAATGATTTGCAAAAACTCTGATATGTCGACCTCGGTAATCTCGACAACCCTGGTTATCTCGACGTATATTCACAGTCCCAAGAGCAAAATTTACCTGGTATATGTCGACATCGGCAATTTTCTGCTCCACTGAACCTAACTGTTTGTCAGATAGGGTCGCTCGTCACGCACGGACGGCTCCGGGTATCTCGACGTCGTCAAAAATTCACACCTTTCACACCCATGTTTTGACTGCACGCTGCTTAATTAATTCTATAGACTGTGTTTGTAGGTGAATCAAAAGCCCCCTCGGCGTCTTTGAGACGTTAATTGCTTAATGTTCAGCTTGGGTAATATCACTGATAAATCTACACGATTCTGCTTAAATTTACAGGTGTTTATTTATGTCGAAACCTAACATAACTTTTGAAATTGAAAAAGATAACTAAATTACAAAGAATAATAAACATATTGAATAAATTCAAACTAAAGAATTAAAAGATGTTCTAATATTTTGTAGTTAAAATGCATTCAACAGGAAATAATCCGATTAACGACAAGATTAACCGAATCATCCGTAATTCATGCATCTGTAATATCACTACGTTAATTTAGATACACAAATCTCTTAAAAAATTAATATTAATGCACATTCTTCCTGAATGAAATAAGAAAAAAATAATTACACATTTAATATGTTTTCGTATCTCGGATGTCGACTTTATCATGTTTATATGGTTCGGTTCGAAGTTTATAGAGCGCATTTCGTATCCTGTTCTGACAAAAAAGCAAGTAGCCAAGTAACACACGAATGCTGGATGGAAAACTACAAAAATTTAGAACGATTTCGATAAAGAGAAAGAACAGGTTTTATAAATAAGATTTTTTAAAAATAACTTCTTAGAGGGATTGCTGAAATAAGTTGACCTACAGTCTATATTGAAGTCATGTACGTATAATAAGCTTATACACATGTATGTGTTTGGTTATGCAGTGAAATCTTGGACTTCAAGTCTCAACTCTGATATCTCGACACCTCGGATATCTCGACATTTTCCGATGGTCCCGTCGATGTCGAGATAACGAAGTTTACCTGTAGTTGTGGATGGATTTCAAATGAACAAATCACAAATAAAAAATGTTGTGATTAAAAGTTGGTTTACAGTACATGTAAATAGTATAATGAAGTATTTACTTTGTAGTTTCGTGAGATGTGATAGCAGCCTCTATCTGCTGATCTTTGGCCTTCTTCAACCTCTCTAGATCCTCCTCATGTTCTCTCTTTAGATCTTCCATTGTCCGCCTATAGTAAACAATCATAACTTACTACTGCAGAGTTCTTCAAAGACCCGTACTTATAATGTCATATTTCTTGGATACAGATTTTAAGAATTTTAAACAAACTTGAACATCTGTCATCATCTCATGTAACATGAAAAGGAAATTTTACTTCAACATCCTACAAGTTTGAAAAATTTTGTTGGAAAATAAAAATTGTGCTTGACTGGCTGGGTTTTAACTTTCCAAGAAGAATTTGAAACAGTTGTCAAAGCAAAAACAATTCAAAAGATGAATCATCTTCATATACTAGGGATGTCAACGAATATTCAAGTACACGACTATCATTCGATCACACCATCTATCAACTAAAATTTTTTTACTTGGGTATTTGTTAAAAATTTGCTTCCTAATAGTAATTTTAAATTCAGGATAATAAACAAACTTGAATCTGCCCAATTCATTTATTCACAGATCAATGTTCTCGTACGTAAAACTGAGGGTAAGGCTTAACTGTTCAAAGGAAATTATTTGTGTGTCAATTTATGTTTGGCAAACATGCCTCCAAAATCTACAGTTTTGGAATACTTTAAAAGATGTCAGGATGGAAAAGCAGTTAAATGTATGTTTTCACGGTTATCTGAAACTGAACCTGGGGACCTGCAGTGGAACATCAAATATGATGTATCATATGCTGAATCGTATGCCGAATCTGTCAAACATATTAAAGTTATTTTCTGATCTTTATCTCAGGAATGTAACAGCATACAATACCTGTGGACCGTATCGATATGAGTCTACCAATCTCTGGTTCTTATCCATGGATTCTATAGTATACATGAATATACATGTACCTGTGTAACCTGTGTATGGATCAGAATTGACATCCAGGGCCCCGTTTTACAAAAGAACTTATGATTACCGGGTAAGATCAAAATTTAATTCTGTTTATAACTTTCTTATTTACATTATATCGAAAATGGTTTTAATCTTTTTAAAATGAATTCAGTAAAATATTTCTACACTGGAAATTTTACACAGAATTTTCAAGTTTGCAAAATTTCGCAATCAACTAAAGTTTTTGGTCTTAGTCGTAAGTTCTTTTGTAAAACGGGCCCCTGGTCTTTAATATCTATGGGTTGTTATATTACACATACCTGTGAATACACTTGAGTTTATATCCTGGTCTTTACATCTGGATTTCATAGCATACATACTTGTGAATGGACTTGAGTCTATCTATTTCCTGGTCTTTATCTCGCTGGAACTCTTCTACATGACGCTGAAATTGGGAGGATTGCTCCGATTTGTCGCTCTCTAGCTGTCGAACCTTTGACAAATATTGATTCATCAACATCTCATTTTCCTCCCGCAACCTATGAAAGGTAATCAAGTGTATTACAGGTAAGATCAACAAGTACTATACAATTACAGACTTCAGTGTAGGTTGACATGTGTTATAAGGACCCATGTCAAGTGATATTGACCAAAGACACAGAAAGTTATAGAGATTGAGCTTGAGTCTGAAGTCAGTATCACTTGACATGGGTTCTTATAACCACATATTGACTGTTCACTAAAGTCCATAAAAGTTATATTATAAAATCACTCAAAGTGAATAATGTGACACAGTCCTTACTGAAATGATTTGACGGTCATTACTTCACAATGGTAAAAAACATGCTTCTAATGCTATGACCTCACATTCTACAAACTCTAGTGAGGCTAGTGAGGCTTTAGTGTAGGCTTATTACATTTTAGAAATGGTGAGATGTGCAATATCACATTCCGCGGATGCACTTTTGTGTCATTATCACAAAAAGACAAATATGTGACGTCCTTACAGCCAATGAAAATGATGAATGTGTTCTTATATAGTATATAACCTTTACAATCAGCAGTACATGATAACAGAAGGAAATTATCTCACTTCAACATGGCAAATATTTTAAACATACATGTATTTTTCATTGCAATTATTGGGGGACAAAATTCTTAATTTTTATGGGAATAGAAAAAGCTTTATACATGTATATTATGGTGGTTCTGATGCTCAATTTACGTATTCCTTTCAATGTAACATGTATGTGACATTTCTACATCATTAAATACGTGCTGAGTTAGGCACGGGATTATAATTAGTATAAACAGAGATAAGGCTAACAGACATCTATAGTATCTATATAAATATATAAGCCTACCTGGTTTCTTTGTTTTTATGCGTATCCTCAATTAGTTCTAATCTGCTCCTATTCAAATTGAAAATTACAAATGCATTTCCAACAAGCAATTATATGTACTATATTATTATTTACTGCATTTGATCTGCAATACTATGTGCAGTCAACTAAGTGTTCATTTTGCTGACATGCAAAAAACTGCACTCTGTTTTTAAATTTAATACCTTAATATCTATATGTGATAAAAGCATATCATCATTTAAGCAAAAATCTATGCAAAACATTGTGTGAATACTTGTATGAATTCTCGATAGTCTGTCTTTCTTCTTCAAATCTTCGCTTGTTCATCTCTAAAAGTGAGTATGCGTAATCCCTCTCTATTTCCATCTTGTATAGCTACAATGAATTTACAAGAATTAATGTTATCCTTAATGAATAAAAATTAATTTGGCCATCCAGCCATTGTGACAGATATAGAGTGCTTTAGGAGATACCTACTCTTGTCTGAGCATCAATCAGGGATCGGGGAGGGTTGGCCATTACAGAGGTCCGTGCCTCTGGGGAGAAAACTGGGGGTGGTGGAATCTGAAACTGAAAAAAATTACCACTAAACATCTCTGAAACAGATTTAATAAAATCTATTACCAGTGACTTGTATCCATCTACATATCAAAATTTACGAATCTTGATTTAAAGCTACAAATTACACACAGAACTGAAAACACTTTGCCCCAAGAACATAAGTGTATTTTGGACTGATAAATGTCACAAATGATAATAAGAACAAATATTGTGCATTTTATATTTTTACTCATGTGCAACAATACCTTTAATAGATAACTGTTCTCACCTTAGGTGTCTGCCCCTGAATATTTTATACTGAGATGAACAATACTTTAGTTGTCTGCCCTAACATATTTTTTATCGAGATGAACAATACTTTAGTTGTCTGTCCTAACATATTTTATACCAGCATGAACAATACTTTACTTATCTGCCCTCAAATATATTTTACCAAGCAAATCAATACCTTAGTTGTTTGCCCATACATATTTTGTAAACAAAATAAACAATACCTTTGCAGCCTGTTTAATGAGATAAACAATACCTTTGCGGCCTGTTTAATGAGATAAACAATACCTTTGCGGCCTGTTTAATGAGATAATCAATACCTTTGCGGCCTGTTTAATGAGATAAACAATACCTTTGCGGCCTGTTAATGAGATAAACAATACCTTTGCGGCCTGTTTAATGAGATAATCAATACCTTTGCGGCCTGTTTAATGAGATAAACAATACCTTTGCGGCCTGTTTAATGAGATAATCAATACCTTTGCGGCCTGTTTAATGAGATAAACAATACCTTTGTGGCCTGTTTAATGAGATAAACAATACCTTTGCGGCCTGTTTAATGAGATAAACAATAACTTTGCGGCCTGTTCAATGAGATAAACAATACCTTTGCGGCCTGTTGATACTGCTTCCTTATCATCTCCTCTACCTGAGCTTGCTGTGCTAGAAGACTCTCCTGCTGCTGTTGTTGCTAAAATAATCAAACCTCACCTACATTGATATTGTTTTTATTATCACAACAAAAGGTTTGAAAATCAAAGACAAACAGAGCGTTTTATTTTTAAAAATTTAATTTTACTGCATAATTTTTGACGTTAAATTTTCCCACTCAGAATATACTGTGATTCCAGAATCCAAATGTCTTTACAAACCTGTCTGAGTATGTCTGCCTGTGTAGACAGCATGTCTTGTCTCTGGTCATCAGCTCTGTTAGCATTAAACAGGTCAGTTACAAGAGCTGTCTTCTTTTCCTCCCTGGGGGGATCAAACCTTTCTGTCTGATTTCCAGTAAGGGGGAGGCCCATTAACTCCTCTGTCTCTCCCCCGTAATGGGGCCTCTGCTGAGTCAGGTGTTTCTCGGAGCTGTCAGATATCTGTGGCTTCCTGTTTAAGGACTGCTGGGGCATAGACATTGGTCTGTAAAATATATTGACTATGCTGTAATTTTTACTCAGGTCAGCTTGATTTGCACTGAGCGTATCATGTAATGACATATATTCCTACATTTTATAAATAGGGTCATTTACTGTAAACCAACTTTTATTAGCGTGCAAGAAATATCCGCAAGTTCCATGACCTAATTTAACATATTAATATTAATCGCCGCAAACTATGTATTTTGCTTTGTATTTGTACAAAATGTTTCTCAGTTGTGCATATTTATTGTCGCAGATTGATTTAAAACTGACGGATCATGAATAAAAGATGGCTTGAATAATAGTTGGTTTACAGTATGCTTTCATTGTACAATAATGAGAAAATAAACATCAAAATACCTACTTATGACCCTATATGTTTTTTAAGATACATGTAAATCAGTTTTAAAACCACAGAAAGTGCAAGACAGCATGTATTGTCAAATATGCATGTAGTGAAATAGCACTGCTGTTATAAACCAGTTATAATTAATTGATCTTTTAAGAAATATTACACATGTACATGTATATAATTTTTGAACTCACATTGGCTGCTATTGATGACCAGAGATTTCACAATGCAAGAGCCTGATTATGTACCAGTACATGTACCAGTATATCAAATCACATGAAAATGTTAGTGGTATGAAAAACATAGGTAATCAAAGATTACGAAGCTCACCTCGACGAAGGTTATCTATAAGTAAGGCAAATCTCACATCATATTTTTTCTAGTTAGTGTACATCCCAAGATCAATATCTATACAAGTTTGGTTTAAGAAGGACTTATAATTACTTGGAAATAGACCTGCTCAAAAAACTTTAACCTGGTCACTCATCTGGAAAATCTAGGTCAGATTCAGCATCCGAAGCAAGTGTGTAGTGTTCATCCCTAGATGCATCATCCATGCAAGTTTGGTCCAGGTAGGGCGTATAGTTACTTGGGAAAGGATCTGCTCCAAAAACTTTAACCTGGTCACTCATCTGGAAAATCTAGGTCAGATTCAGCATCCGAAGCAAGTGTGGTAGTGTCCATCCCTAGATGCATCATCCATGCAAGTTTGGTTCAGGTAGGGCCTATAGTTACTTGGGAATGGACCTGCTCCAAAAACTTTAACCTGGTCACTCATCTGGAAAATCTAGGTTAGATTCAGCATCTGAAGCAAGTGTGGTAGTGTCCATCCCTAGATGCATCATCCATGCAAGTTTGGTCCAGGTAGGGCTTATAGTTACTTGGGAATGGACCTGCTCCAAAAACTTTAACCTGGTCACTCATCTGGAAAAATCTAGGTCAGATCCAGCATCCGAAGCAAGTGTGGTAGTGTCCATCCCTAGATGCATCATCCATGCAAGTTTGGTTCAGGTAGGGCGTATAGTTACTTGGGAATGGATCTGCTCCAAAAACTTTAACCTGGTCACTCATCTGGAAAATCTAGGTCAGATTCAGCATCCGAAGCAAGTGTGGTAGTGTCCATCCCTAGATGCATCATCCATGCAAATTTGGTTCAGGTAGGGCCTATAGTTACTTGGGAATGGACCTGCTCCAAAAACTTTAACCTGGTCACTCATCTGGAAAATCTAGGTCAGATCCAGCATCCGAAGCAAGTGTGGTAGTGTCCATCCCTAGATGCATCATCCATGCAAGTTTGGTCCAGGTAGGGCTTATAGTTACTTGGGAATGGATCTGCTCCAAAAACTTTAACCTGGTCACTCATCTAGAAAATCTAGGTCAGATCCAGCATCCGAAGCAAGTGTGGTAGTGTCCATCCCTAGATGCATCATCCATACAAGTTTGGTTCAGGTGGGGCGTATAGTTCCTTGGGAATGGATCTGCTCCAAAAACTTTAACCTGGTCACTCATCTGGAAAATCTAGGTCAGATCCAGCATCCGAAGCAAGTGTGGCAGTGTCCATTCTAGATGCATCATCCATGCAAGTTTGGTCCAGGTAGGGCTTATAGTAACTTGGGAATGGGACTTGCTCCTAAAACTTTAACCGGGACGCCGACGCTAACGCCGACGCCAACGCCGGGGGTATAGCATAAGCTCATCTCGACTTCGTCGAGGTGAGCTAAAAATGAATTACCCAGTGTCTTTTGGGGGTGGTTTAAACAAGTCTCTGTCATCAGTTCTTAGAGTATTCCCACCAAATGCTGGGGATTCCAATCTGTAAATATATTACAGAATTTAGTGTACACATTATTTCCTCTGTCAATCTATATGTAAACAAAAGTTCTAAGCTTCATTTAAATAATGTGTAAGTCCTGACCTAATCACTTTAGTACATCCTGACCCAAATTATTCAGAAAATGACACCTTGCTATGTCAGCCAGCAAGGTGTGTTTATTGACACCTTGACCTATAAACTTTAAAATTAAGACACCTTGACCTACAAACCTTGACTTGAGCAGGCTGTTGGGGTCAAGTCCTGCTCCCAGGTAGTCATCCTCCTCTTTACTGCTGCTCAACCCCAGCCAGTCTGCAGGGCTTCCCCTGGGCTCGGTCTTTGGGGTTGTTTTCTGGTCCGTTTTTGGTTCTGTTGGTTCTTCAGATTTGTAGCTAGACAACCATTCTTTTCTCTTGTCTCCTGCACTACTTGGAGGGGTAGTCTAGCAATAAGAAAAAAAGTTTTTTTTTTATTCAATTCTCTTTTTACTGTAAGTTTTTGTGACCATATCAATATTCAATCATTTACTCATCTTACATTTCTTCAAACATTTTATCTACTCTTTTGGCTTGCATGTTAATAGGCAATAAAACTACTGGTACACATGCTAAAACTGACATACAAGTAAGGTACTATTGCTCCATTGAAGTGAAACCCTACGGGAAACAAGACAAATTCTCTTTACTAGTAAAGAGATAATATCTTTCATAAACAAAACTTTTGGTATGGATTATATATATATATTTTACTTTCTGCTGTGATTTGGTTCTCATCCAAGATGCTGGTTCATCATCCTCATCATCAGCGTCGTTTAGTCCAAGCCAATCTGCTGCACTCTTTGGTTTGGGAGTCGATTTGGCTGGTTTGATTTCTGGTTCCTTGTCCTGGGCTTTGGATTCCAGTGGTTTGCTGTCAGCCTGAGGTTTACTGTCGGTTTTTACACTGGTTGGTTTGGTGTCTGTCTGTGTGGCAGGTTTAGTCTCTTGTTTAGGTGGAGTAGAGGAGACCGATGGTGCAGACTTGACTGCTGTGGCAATGTCATTTAACCAGTCCATGTCATCTGGTTTTTTACTGAGGGATGAGGCTGGTGATCTTCCACGAGATGGGGGACGGTCAAATCCGAAAATGTCATCTTCATCTTGAAATCTTAAAAGGATGAAGAGAACTCCATTCAAATTTCATCTCTAAAATCAAATCTTATAAAATTGTCTTAAATTTACAAAAATTAGAAAGTACATACCATTTAACCACACCATTGATTTTCATTTCAAACATAAAATCAATCAATGGTTGATCAAACTGTGTTATGGGTCATTTTTTGCTATACAATAAAACACACTTGTAGCAAACTTGCAGAGACTGTCAATTTTGCTCAATTTTATCTTCTTTTTTCCTGTAAAATTTAGCTAATTATCATTTACTTGGTGACGAAATATCACTTTGTTATAAGCCGGTCTTTGCTATATGCATGTTCTCTGTAAACATTTTCCTACACATACGTTGAATAGATGATGAGTACCTGACAGATCTACGCGATGTGGGACGGGAACTAGTTGACACCACAGATGGCTGGTACCCTCCAAACTGGAAATCCTCCTCCTCCTCTTCTGTTAATAGAAACAGTTATATAGTACACAGAAAACTATTATACAATACAAAGAAAACTGTTATACAATACACAGAAAACAGTTATACAATACACAGAAAACAGTTACACAATACACAGAAAACTGTTTGAAAGGGGTAATAATTAATTGATGCATTTACATGTGCATTACAAGTATACAATGTTTAAAAAAAATCTTAGAAAATGAATAAAGCTTCCAAGTATACTTTATAACTCTGATGGAAACCAGCACAAACAATACATAAATTAATCCTTCCACTCTATTGATGAACAATTACAATTTTGTAGTTAGATTAGATCCTTTGGAATTAAGTATGCTGCCCTTCTCTTTTACTTACCATTATTGGGTTGTGTGTATTTTTTATCCAGGACAAACTCTCTTCTCTCCTTCTTCGTCTCCAGATGTTTGCTGACTGCTGAGTCCTTGGCCAGTAACTTGTCCATCACTGACCGGGCAGGCTTGTCCTCCTCTTCTGTGGACTTTGCCTTTGGAGCAGATGGCCCTGTCTCCTCAATCCCAAGCCCTCCCAGAAAATCATCATCATCACTGAAGATACCTGGTTCTTCCTTCTTTTTGGGTTGCACTGCAGAAGCTATTTAAAGATTTATGAATACATTCATATCAGAGTTCAAAACAAATGCCTTAGGAAGTCAGTGTTTTCATATGCCTTTTTTTACCATATTAATTTTCATGCAATCTACTAGAATAATACTGTATAAGCAGAAATTTTAGCGAGGATTCAATTTTGGCATTTTTAGCAAGAGTGTAGAGATCACTAAAATTTAATATCGCTAACAATTTATTCCGCATTAGAGGCTACCATTATCTTTCTATGCACCATATAATTGCTAAAATTACTTCTCGCTAAAAATAAATACTGATTTTTAAGCAATAAGGACAAATCGCTAAATTTGCATCTCGCTAAAAATTCCATTTATACGATAAAACCAAGAGAGAGATTACCAGCTCTTGGTGGTTCCTCCACTTCTGTATTTCCACCACTGCGAGTTGGTGGCCTGTCAAACAAATTACGTCTTTTGGACTCTACAAAGATTAAAAGAAAAAAAAATCACCCTTCAAATATGTTCAAATACAATTAGTATTAATCTTGAAGGGGGAATCTCATTTGTGTACATTCCTAAACAGTTTGAAAGATACATGTATTTCTGTTTATACCTTCCAATTCGGCTGGTTGTTGTGGCGTTTCCTCTAGGGATCGTTGATTTTTGACTGTAGTATCTCCCTTCTGTGCTTTGGAGCTGGCTTTAGCTTTGCCTGCTGTAGAATCATCGTCTTCATCACTAAACCCAGCCAGTAAGTCATCCATGTCCATATCTACAAGAAAATAATTCAACCATGCCAAAATACTTCTATAGCAACCAGGGAAAAGTGTATCAAGTGTGGATCCAACTTTTTTTTTAACAGAACTTAGAATAGTGGAAGTCAAGTGCAATCATGGTCTTTTTATCAGCATTGTAATTTCATCATTTTTGATCTGCAGAAAGTGATTTAAAAAAAATCCTCTGCTATCCAAAATGAATACCTGTAATTTAAAATAACAATTCTGTTTCAGAACTGACAAGATGTCTAAGTTGTTCTTTCATCTATCAAATATTGCCACCCTTATTATAATAATTTAAGTTTATTCAGTGATAGATGAGGACTGACCTGCATAATCATACTTCTGCTTGGCTTTGGGGACAGTTCCTGGTCTCTCCTGGGGAGGGGCACCCCCTGGCTTTAAAGCAGAGGAGGCACTGCCAATATCTGAAATAACATGTAGTCTGGATAAATTAAATAAAACCATTACAATAGAAATATAGATAATATTCAATTTTTTTATGCTTTAATTACAATGGTTAAAATGGTTCTTTGCAGCAATTATTCATACCTACTGCATGAACATGAAAGCATGCAGGTATATATATAAAATGTAATATACAATACAGCTGATTATGAAAAGAGTATCCATTGGTATATCAGCTAGTACCGGTAATAGTTTTATTCAACTTAACTAATAATATATATAAACATACATGTACTTTTTCAAGCACTATCTTATTTTACACATAACAAAATGTAAAAACCTAGACAATGTAGAAATGTTGTGGAAATTGTTAAATGATGATTTATTTTCACTTATCAAGTTTCTCTGTTGTTGTTTGAGAAATATAAAAATCCTTGTACACCATCAAAGCTTCCCCTTGCTAAATTCCTAAAATTAGCCTTTCAACTTACAAAGGGCAATTATAAAAATGTCCAGTGTTAGATTTATCCCACAATGCATGTGCCATGTTCAGGAAAAATGTAATTAAGGCAGTTTATTAATCCCTATCTTTTATGTACTAAATGAATGGTTAGAGTTTGAGCTAATGCAATATCATTAAGTTTGAGCTGTACCCAAAATTATCCAATGTTTGACGGATGGACTAATTTCCAACAAATAAACCTTGCTCTCTGTGGTTGCATATTACTAATGAATATTTCAATGAAGCTTCCAGATGTAATGATATACATGTAAGAAAAATTTCTTGTATCTCACTATCAAATATTGATAAATATTTGACTGTTTTGAGACGTTGCAGATTAAAGAAAATTGAAACCAATTGTGTTAAAAGTGTGACTTCACCTTATAGACAGATGGGCAGGTACTGAACAAAATGATACCATGCTCTGAAGGTACCACAAAATATTTTGTGCACTCTATAAGAATCTGACAGCCTATTATGTACTTTATATGAAATTGACAACATGATTAATAAGACATGATTGAAACCTGAAAGCATTGAAAAACTTTATAGCAAGGAACAAATAATTTACATAGAGATCGATCTTTTCATAGACATTCAGATTTCAATAGTGTGTACACAAGTGTCTGTGAGAAATTCAGTCTTAATATATGTGAATGTAGAAGAGTGAATGTATTGTGAAAAAGCATAGCTACATAATGTAATCTTTATCATATCAATGAGTGATGTGTATGCTCTAGATAAAATTTCTTCTACTGAACAAATACTTACAAAAAAGGCCTATGGGCCACTATGCTCATGTCAGTAACATTGCTTGTCCAATAAATATATATAACTAGAATTCATACCCCCCCCCCCCCCTTCAGCACAATCTGATTCAATCAGAATACTTAAAAAAAGCATATCCTTTTAATGGCTGGAGATTTTGAAGTATGTTCCACTGAATGGGTGAGATTGGGAAAAATTCATTCAAAAACTATGAGTCACTGTATCAAAACAAATTTTGCATCCTGAAAAATATGCTCGGTCATCCAGGGCCTAATGGTCTCTGCAGAAAAGCGTGAGCAGTGGACTTCTAATGACTCAGATGAGCATTATGACCCATAAGCCTTTTGTACATTTATCCTTTCCCTATATCAAATTCCTCATTAGAGTTACTCAAGCAAATTTTCAATGCAAATAAAACACTGTATTAAAGTGTTACTAACACATAATACCCAGAAACTAAGATTTTATAAAGTGATACTATAATCTTTACATTTTAAAGAAACTTTTAAAGCAAATTTTCTCTCATCCCTTTTCTAATGCATCATGCCAATATAACCAAGCACCTACTATAATATTGCATAGTATCAGTATATGTACTATAAAATTTCAAATCATGCAGAAAATGAATGGTGTTCATACCTGAGGCTGTGAAGAGACAAAATTACAATGATCGTCAAATGATTGCTTATTTTTGTGACTTTCTTAATGAGATAAAACTAAAATGACATGAATTTTTTTTTTCAAATTCTTATGACCAAAAAAAAAAAAAAAAAAAAAAAATCCAGGAACCATAACTCCTACCTGTCATCTTCCCTGGGGCAGTACCAGGTTTATGTTCTGGGATTGATGTTGTCCCCATTCCAGACTTTTTCAAGCTTCCTCCCCTGGGTGTGAGGGAGGCTTCTGGTGTTGGTGACCCTGTACCTCTCCCAGCAGGGGACGTAACTCTAGCAATAGGGGAGGTGACCCTGGCTGTAGGTGAAGTGACTCGAGTCTGTGGGGACGAAGCCCTGGGGGTGGTACTTCTGGAGCGGGGTGTACCAGTTCTTCTTGGAGTGTTAGGCTTACTAGATCTCTCACCCTTGACACTCCCTTTCTTTTTAAATTTCCCTCCAAACAAGTCGGCATCCATGTCCTCCAAATCCTGGAAAGTTTAGATAATTCAGTAGAACCAAGCTATATATTGCACTATGACTTACAATCTTCACTACAGTTAAGGAAAGGATCTAATAAGTTGAAAGAACTTGTATCCAATCCTTCTGTATATATATTATACAATAAAATTTGTTCAAATCAAAATCAACTACAGTTCTTTTGTTATATTTTCAAATGAACTGAGATATGTAAAAGAACCACAGATAGGTAGATCTTATAAAACTTACTGCCAAACTCTTGGCCATTTGATTGACATCAGCATCTGATATGTCAGACAAATCATCTTCTGCTGTGGCAGCCAGGTTGCTGTAAAAATCCTCATCTCTGGACCTATCAGAATGTGGAAATATCAAATGAACATGGAGGAAGAAAAAATGTAAAGTAATTAGACATGGAGTAGTAAATTTGGATTCAAATGAGTGATAAGTAACCCTGCTCCCTTCTTAGATATAAAAAGCTCAGAGACATGACAGGCACCAAAAAACAAGAGGCCCATGGGCCACATCGCTCACCTGAGCACATTAGCTAGACACAAATCAGTTCAGTATTGAAAAGATTACTGGGGGTTGGGGAGGGGGGTGAATTTTAAACTACCTGATGATGCTTCCATGTCAATATAACAAATGGCTTTGTTGCACTTGAGAAGATTTTTAAAAAAATTTTCCCATACATTCCTTTGTAAAATTTTGATCCCCCATTGTGGCTCCTCCCTATCCCAGAGGTCATCATTTGAACAAACTTGAATCTACACTATCCGAGGATGCTTCCATATCAATATGACTAAACATAGCTTTTCTGTTCTTGAGAAGAAATATTTTTTCTATGTGTTCTTATGTAAAACTTTCGATCCCCATTGGGCCCCATCCTACCCCTGGGGGTTATCATTTGAAAAAAAAATTGAATTTACACTACCTGAGGATGCTTCCATATCAAAATGACTAAACATGATTTTCATTTCTTGAGAAGAAGATATTTTCCAATATGTTCCTATGTAAAAACATTTTGATCCCCCATTGTGGCCCATCCTTATCCCCGGGGGTCATCATTTTAACAATCTTGAATCTACACTACCTGATATCAAAATGACTAATCATGGCTTTGCAGTTCTTCATCAGATACCTTCCTATATATTTCTATTTCAGACATTGATCCTCAATTGTGGCACCGCCCTACCCCAGGGGGTCATGATTTGAACAAACTTGAATCTACACTACCTGAGGATACTTCCACATAAATATGATCTATCAGGGCTTTGCTGTTCCTGAGAAGAAGATTTTTAAAGGTTTTTCCTATATATTTCTAAGTAAAACTTTGATCCTCCATTGTGGACCCGCCCTACCCCCAGGGGTCATGATTTGAACAAATTTGAATCTACACTACCTGGGGATGCTTCCATATAAATATGACTTATCATGGCTTTGCTGTTCTTGAAAAGAAGATTTTTGAAGGTTTTTCCTATATATTTCTATGTTAAACTTTGATCCTCCATTGTGGACCCGCCCTACCCCGGGAGTCATGATTTTGGCAAATTTGAATCTCCACTACCTGAGGATGCTTCCATATAAATATGACCAATTAGGGCTTTGCTGTTCTTGAGAAGAAGATTTTTAAAGGTTTTTCCTATATATTTCTATGTAAAACTTTGATCCTCCATTGTGGCTCCGCCCTACCCCCGGGGGTCATGATTTGAACAAATTTGAATCTACACTACCTGAGGATGCTTCCACATGAGTTTCAATTTCCCTGGCTTTGTGGTTCTTGAGAAGAAGATTTTTAAAAGATGCTATTAATTTTTCACTAATTCTTTATTATCTCCCCTTGAAAGAGGGCGTGGCCCTTCATTTGAACAAACTTGAATCCCCTTCACCCAAGGATACTCTGTGCCAAGTTTGGTTGAAATTGGCCCAATAGTTCTGGAGAAGAAGTTGAAATTGTGAAAAGTTTACGCCAATGACAATGACGACAACGCCAACGACGACAGACAACGGACAAATTTTGATCAGAAAAGCTCACTTGAGCCTTTGGCTCAGGTGAGCTAATAAAGCAACTGTAAATTGTAAGCATATTAACAATCTAGGTCAAAATAATTCCATGATGGTGTTCTTAAAAAAATCAAATTGATTATTTGGTCAACTTTCTCAATATCAAAATTCCTTATCCATAATTTCTCAGGACTCACCATTCATTGTTCAATAAACATACCTACATATATTTTTTACAAGAACATTTACAAAATTAATGATAAACAATAAAAAGTTGTCTTAATTAAAATGTACACAGAAATGAACAATAACTAGAGCTGTAACCAAGGAGGTGCAAGCAGGCCTTGAAGAGATTGGAGATCAAATTATTGGGGATCTAAATGGTGCATAAACTGTAAAACACAGTACAAATAAATCATTGTTTTGTGAAAAAAAAATTTCAACTTTTTGCTTAAGAATCATATTTGCTTTAATCTTTCAACTGATGTTCTAGAGCTTTGCAGAAGCTTAACTTTGGGATCCAGATGCATGTAAACAAAATGAGAAACAAAGCCTGAGTGTTTTCTTACCCTGGTGGTGGTGAAGAGTTTTGTCTGCATGTAAACAGAATAATCTCACAGCTTATAAACCTAGCCTTAAATTCACAAAGTCATACACAATACAAATTATTCCTTAAAGTTATTTTCACAGACTGTAGCATTACAGTGCATGAAAACTATTTTGATAGTGTTATATGACACAATCAAGTAGATTCTTCAATGTCTCATTGGTTACCAATTTCCAACGTATTTTACTGTACAATATTGAAACAAAAGATTTTTTTACATGCTTTGAAGTCTAATGCAAATCTATTCACAATAAAATTAAATTCAAAATCTTTAAGTGAATTATTACACATAGCTACTGTGTGCAGCTATGTTTTTATAGTAGTCTTATTTTTTACCAAATTCAAGTCAAAATAAAACTACAAAATTAATACAGGAGCAAATAAATTCATTTACAGTGAACATATCATTTTTGGATGTGGGAATAATTTACGCTACATACACACATTGAAAAGAAATTATGGCCATTTTGAAAAAAAAAAGTATGTTTACAGTATTTGGAAAAAAACTTTGTGGTTTGAAAACAACCATGAGCAAACTCAAAGTTGTATCATAATATACATGTACCGGTATCAGCTTTCTTTGAGTCAACAAAAAATTGTTAAGAGAGATTAATCTAAATCAAGCAATATTTCAAAATGGTTACAATGTTTAGCATGTTTAGTTGAGTACTGCATACAGGGAAAATTTCGTCCCGTTTTATTTTTGCCTCTTTCGTCCCAATCACAGGTGGGCAAATTTAAAATGGGGCAAATTCAAAGAACACAGCATAATTTCTTAAATAGAACTATGACTGGGCAAATTTAAATGGACAAAATTGTTCCCAAGTGCAAATTAAAAGGGGGCGAAAATAACCCTGTATACAGTATATAAATCCTCCTGTGAAGAAAGTCTTTTGAGGATGCCATACCCTTGTTTTTTCATTCCTGTTTTCACAGTACCAATCTGGAAAATGAAAAATAATGTTAACTCCATATACATACCATACAATATGCAGTAAGACATAAATGTTAAGATTAGTGCAATAAGGTCACATTATACATACAGGTTGAGAGGGGGTCTTCTTCTTAGCAGGAGCATCTAAAATGGAATTGCAAAATATGTACCATGATATGCTGTGAAAATAATGGTACATCATGCTAAACTTTAGGGGATGTGATACTGACCCTAAAATCAATGATGATTTTGTAAACAAAAAAAAAAGTTTATTCAATGACCTCAGTAATTTACATACCATCTACAAGCAAATCTCCAAGTAGGTCATCAAGTCCTTCTGTTGATTTTACCTCTGAAAAATAGAAAGTAATAAATAAAATTGCTATCAATAAATAAATTTAAAATATAAAATTATTTTCAATGCTGAAATATCCTTGCACCCTATTTCAAACCAGTACAAACTGGAAGTGCAACTTACACATGACGTCACAATCTAAACTTGTCTTGTGTGATCTGATTATGCAGTTCAAAGTAAAAGTCATCCTCGCAAGCCAGGGGTCCTGAGTCAACACGTTACCGTTGGACCTACAATGTGTTGACTCAGGACCTCTGGTTTGTGAGGATGAGTAAAAGTGTAAGATTTGAAACAATAAAGTTTAGTAAAATATCTAAAGCTCCCAAATGGTTGCACCATAAAATATTAAGTTAATTTTGAAATTTGATTGTTAAAGGTGTATTCCCTCAAATTCTCACCTCTTTGATATACATATACCATTATCAATGTATTAAATGTATTTGTTGTTTATAATCAATGGTTATTCCCATAAAAAAAAAAAAATGTGTGAACATTTTTAGTGTGTATCACTGTGTATGATTTAGTTAGAATAATCTAATTGTGTCTCGGGACAAGCCCTCACCACAGTTAGAATACGTCCCATATACTTAGAATGTAGCAAATCGGAGTGGATCCACTGCGAAATGATTTTGAAGAATACAAAAGGAGTTGCACTGAAAATAACTACCAAATTAATCATAACAAATCCTTATGAGATTGTATATGCCTTTTAACCTAAAAAATAATCCATATAAATATGAAAATTCAACTAATTTTCTCAACGTTTTTCCTCGCTTCAAATTTAATGCCATGTTGACATTCGGAACTCTCTGGATTGTTCATAGAAAATGCACAGAGCTCAAGTAATCGCCCCTGTTTATTTTGCAACATTGCCAATATACGAAACAAATTCTATCGTTAAACCGGGTCCGTAGGACAATATCATTTTAACGATAGATCGTTCCATCTATGTATGAATGTAGTTTTGTGCAGACATTTCTGGTCACCAGACTCAGCTGCATGACTGTATTATGGAGAGAGAGAGAGAGAGAGAGAGACACACAGAGAGAGAACTATAGAATTTTCCTTACTTGACTGTTTCTTTGCTCCCGGAGTCCACAACTGCGAAGAAAGAAGACATGATTGGACAATCGGACGTGAATGAATCGTGAATGAAAATTTTAAAAAAATCTTTGGAGTTTTAAAGCTAATTTTCTGTATTTAGACACACAATTCCAAGCATTTCAAATGAAAATCTTGTACAAACTTGTGTAAAAAGCTTATGAATATTGTATGCATGTTAATTACTAATGCAACATTTGTTGCTGTTTACTTACATTGTCCATTTTTCTTAATTACTATCTCTACACTATGTAAGAATGCATTTGCTCAATATTCAGCCAACGAAGTCAGTGAAAAGCGAAGTGACTATGGACGCTTCTTTTTTTAAATGGTCGCTGCCATTTTTATTTGGATCACGTGATAACCTCCGAGATGTTCTCGCGATTTACCTTTGCTAAGCAACAGACGCCATTGACAAGCAGAAAATATGACAGGTGAAAAAGCTACAATGGAACCTCCACAAATATACGTGGAGAGAACTCTTGCTATTGTTAAACCTGATGCTATTCACAAATCAGAGGAAATTGAGGACATCATTTTGAGATCGGGATTTGCTATTTTGCAGGTAAAAATCAACGTTAAAGTCTCTCTGTTATTTGTTCGAATTTCCTCTACTTTGAGTTTGATCGGTATAAAAATATTCTTATTTTCTTAATTTTTTTTATCTTAAGTATGTTTATATTAAATTTTTAATTCCAGAAAAGGCGTGTTCATTTAACTCCTGAACAAGCCAGTGATTTTTATGCAGAACATTATGGTAAAATGTTCTTTCCAAGTCTGGTTGCCTACATGAGCAGTGGACCAATATTAGCACTTGTCATTGCCAGGGACCAAGCAATATCATACTGGAGAGAACTAATTGGACCAACTAATGCTCTTAAAGCAAGACAGACTCACCCAGACTGGTAAAACATTTTTTATAGTGATGTACACAGTAAAAGTCTGAAAAGAACAGAAAATGCTCAGCTGTCAAAATTACTTTTCCTTGTTGAATATTATGACATGTAAGATTGAAATTAAAATAAAAAAATATTGCAGATTTTTAAAAGTAGTTTATATTCCCATTACTTTCATCTATACCTGTAGACTTCCATTGTATGAAGGGACTATATCTAATTTATAATTATGTTATGAATCTAGGGCTGTCACGGTTCCAAAATTTTTCGGGTCGGGTCGGTTCTGTAAATTTTCGGTTCGGTTTCGGGTTTTTCGGGTCGGGTATTGACATCTATTTTAAACCTTAATTTCATGAATTTAACTTGAAAAATCTTTATTTGTTACACTAAATTTACATTGAAAACAAGTCTTAACCATGCGAACGTCTAGACATCGGTGACTTGGCCTACTATTAGCCACAACCTGACCATTCCTGCTCGTTTTGATAATTATCTAATACTTCCGTGACAAGTGTTTTGTCATGGAATGGAGTAGATTTCATTTGAGATGTTTATTTATCACTGTTATAGTCATCATTCCTTTGATTTCGACGCCATTTTTTGTATTGAACAGACTCTAATATATAAACCAGACCCGAACCGAAATCCGGAAAAATGGAACCGGAACCGAACCGAACAACTTGGACCGTGGTTCTCGGTTATTTCGGGTACTCATGACAGCCCTATATGAATCAGTATAATCATTTTGAATGAAGGTTTCATACATTGACTTGAGCTGAATTTTGTGTCCATGGTAATCCTTCAATTAAATCCTGTTACTTCTTATTATACAATAAGACAATATAGACAGACAGTCTGATAACAGTTAAATCTCGATCATTTCTATTTTACAGTTTAAGAGCTGTGTATGGAACAGATGACCAGCGTAATGCTCTCCATGGTAGTGACAGCTTTTCTAGCTCGGAAAAAGAAATTCGATTTTTCTTCCCTGACAGTAAGTTGCATGTTGTTTCTATGTAATGTTTTATAGTTTTGATTTCATTCCTATTAACATACAACAGTAACAAAACTGTTTTATATGTAAACTGACTAGCTTGAATAAAATTTAGAATTGATGAAGATTGTAAAACCTGAATACATGTATAAGAATTCATGCATAGTCAATTTATACAACATTTTTAAAAAAAAAAATCAACACATCAGAAATGAGTATTAGAAGGTAGCCTATATAATAATGTTTGTCTGTAGGTGTGATTGAGCCAGTTCCTGTTGGACAAGCAGCTAAAGACTACCTGGCCAAGGCCGTCAACCCCACCCTACTGAAGGGCCTTACAGAACTCTGCAAACAAAAACCAATTGATCCAGCTGTAAGGAGTTTACCTAATTTAATAACTTGATTTTTCTACAATCAAAATGCAAAATTAGGTGTACATATTACATTTCTTTTCTCCTATTGCAGATATGGCTTGCAGACTGGCTACTTGAAAATAACCCCAATAAACCCAAAGTTCGTCAGCTTGTTCAGGAACCTAAATAGAAACAAGGACAATTAATATATTATAGAATGATTATAAATCATCCCTATCTTCAGTTCATCAAACTTTTGTGATATTACATCCATATTTGTCATATGTTAATACATACTTGTAAATAAATCATCCAAATTCAATTTATGTCACGCATTACTACAATTTTAGTGAAGTTAATATTACTACAATTTTAGTGAATACATGCCTACAAGTCAAAGAGTGTGTTTCAGAAACATACGACTTTTCCCTATATCGAGAATGACTTAAATACCCACCATGCATAAGGAGTTATCTCTAAAAATAGATACAGCTACAGTTGTATGTACATGTAGATAGCTTTATTTACAAGGCGGGTCTTTCCCTATATTGACAAAACGTCTAACATTTATATTTATATATATGTGTTTTTTTAACATAATAACTGCCTTGTTTGTACAACTGTTGATGGACTTTATTCAACTCATTAGTACTTTTTTAATTACTATATTGTATGAGAAGGAAGCTAGCACAATAAAATTTGAACAGTACATGTATTTTGAAAGATGTAGACATGAAAAGTGTTCTAGTGCATGTCAATAAATAAAGCTGTGTCCAAGGTAATTACATCTGAGTAATTTCAATTTAGGAAACTTTAGATCACAGTAACAAGAAAAACAATTTAAGTGTATTTAATATAAGATGTGACATATAAAAAGTGAGTTTAAACTTCATACTGGCATACATTCTATTTTTTGACTTCATATTTCATTACCTTCCCATTATATTACGAAAAAAAATGTACCAGCCATTCTAGAATTCGAACCAACTGAAGGGGGGAAAATGATAAATGGTCAACCTGCTTAACCAATCCTAACATACCAATGTGTGGAATTTAAAGTAATGCTCTTTCATTTCGGAGGTATAATAACTTTTTTTTAAACTTAAAAAAAAAAATATGCCTCTTTGAAACAAATATCGGAAACAACAGTTTTGAAGAAAACTCCTGGTTTCTTAATGTCCATATAAATTTCATTTTGTTTCAAGGAGGAAGTTTTTCAAAACAATGGGGATTCCCTATTGAAAAAAGCACAAAATGTGTCACATTCTGCAATGTGACTGATTAAAATTTCAATTCATGTAATGATAAAAGTTGGTATGACATTTCCCAATATAATTTTACATTGTTTGGTACCATTGAAAGTGAGAAAATGGAATATCTTTTTTTACTTTAAAATTGTTCGAATTTTCTGCTACAAGTTTAGGGAAAATATAACACAAGATAACAAAGGAACTGCAACACCTTTGTTAACGACTAATTAAGGTTGAAAAGAATTAATTATTGCAACCTGTTTAACATAACTTCAAATATTGTAAACTATTGCAAAGAATAGCCCATCATAAATGTAATCTGAATGGAAAGACAGGGGGAATCTACTGCTGTTAATATACTAGGTTTTTCCACCGACCTATGCTTCAGGTCTATGGTTTTTCCTACAATCTGGCCACAAAAGGAAGCAAATCCCACTAAATAGCCAGCTTTCAAAGGCGGAAGATCTACTATGCAGCCAGATTTCCGGGTGGGGGTTCTATATAGTCAGTTCTTGGGGGGAGGGGAGGGGGTGGGGTGGACGGCTAGGGAGAAAGGCTACTATACAACACTGGTTCGTATCACATATATGTATATTCATAGGATATTCGTAGTATACGGGTATATCCATTGACAGGTTTACTAGATGTTGACAGGTAAATATAACTATCTCCATCTCTCTAAAGAGAACAGGTTTTCCATGGAAGATTCAAGTGGTTCAAACTAATCACCTATTAAATTATCTTTATGTATATTTTACTTTCCTGAGTGCAAAATAAGAACTTTTTTTCTTTATCCAGTTTCAGTCAATTTGTTCAGAAAATGTATGTCACTTTTGTACACGCTATGACAAATGCACTTCATACTTCAACATGGCCATAGGACCCCCCCCATAATTTTGCCGATTTATGAAATATGTGGAGATAACGAACAGTATTCGAGCTCCAAAGTCCATTAAACATTACAAAATAGGAGCAGAGCAAACACGGACATCTAAGACATCAGAGGTGGGATCAGGTGCCATGAGAGGAGTGAGCATATAGTATACTTTAGAAAACAAAAGGCCCATAGGCCACAACGCTCACCTGAGTCACCAATAGCCCAGTTGTTCGTCAGTATTTCTTCCTCTCTTTAATATGATAAATTTGGACTCCATATTGTGGCCCCTACTTCAAGGGTTTAAGATTTAACCAACTTGAATCCACACAACATTAGGATGCTTTTATATTAATTTGACCATCATGACATTGTGGTTTCTTTCTTGTACAATGGCATCATGTAAAATCTGAACTCCAATTTAAGTCCAATCCTAATGCTAGGATCCTTAATTTGAATACTAAAATGAATCAACAACACTTGGGAGTATTTGCATATTGATGTGATATACTGTGACATTGTTGCTTTTTCCCACACATATTCGTATAAAACTCAGATCTGATCCCCTGTTGTAGCCCCACCCTAGCCCTGACCTAAACAGACTTAAATCAACAATTCCTGATTGAGGATGTTTACACATAGGACTAATTAAGGCCCTGCCATACTTCCACAAGATTTTAAAAGTTTTTTTTGTTGAAAATTAGGTCAAACATGAAGGTCAAGGTCAAGGGGTCAAAAAATCATAGAATGCTCGGAAACAACTTGTCACAGGTAATGCACATGTCAAATATGAAAGCCCTATATCTCTTCTCAATCAAAAGTTGTAAGGAAAAATAACATTTCTGAAAAGTAGGTCAAACTTCATGGTCAAGGTCACAGGGTAAAAAAATCATAGTTTATTTAGAAAGGTCTTATCACAGGTAATGTACATGTGTAATATGAATATGAAAGCCCTATATTTTCTCTTTCAAAAGTTATGACCAATTTAAAGTGATGTTAACATTTTTGAAAAGTAGGTCAAACATCGAGGTCAAGGTCACGGGGTCAAACATCATAGGATATTTGGAAAGGTCTTGTCACAGGCAATGTACTTGTGAAATATGAAAGCCCCATCTCTTCTCATTCAAAAGTTATGACCAGGGTTAAAGTTTTTGGGACAGACGGACAGACTGACAGACGAATGAGATTTAATGTCCCCTCGCTTTCGCGAAAGCGGAGGACAATGATCAATGTCGCCCTGTTTAGAAGATTGTTCCCTATATATTACTTTGGAAATTTTTGATTGAGCCGACATATGAATGGAAGTAACTATTGTTAATAAATGATAATACGTCGTCGATATATCTAAATGTTGAGTTGAACGCCACAGCAAGTGTTTTATTCTTCGTATGTAGCAGTTTTTGAATAAATGTAATTTCTTATTTTATGTCAGTATGTTGCTGCTATCAATTTTGACTTTCTTTTTTACCTGCAAATTGCTACTTTTGCTTTTCGTATGGTGCGACGTTTTACTGCCGTTTTGAAAGAAATGAATTTACACTTAAATAATCAAAGGCGCTCCCCATGTAAGTTTGTAGATGACGAAATGATAAGTCTACCCCTCTATACTATAAAATCAATAGTAAAGAGGGGTGGACCTATGTAGACTTATCATTTCGTCATCTACAAACTTACGTGGGGAGCGCCTATGAAGATTATACTAGTACATGTATATATATTAATCTTTTTCCCACTAGGTCCGTGGTGTTTAGTTTTCTGCAATTTCAGAATCACCGTACTATAACTTTAGCTGTGGCAAAAAGGTTTGTCTGTTAATTATTTTTCTACCTCGATGCATCCATAAATTCACACATTAAAGAAACATTCACTTTGAATTTTTTAAAGGTATCTTTTAAAGAATATTTATAATGATTCCTGTCCTGATGAAATATAAAGAAAAAATCCTTTTAATGGGTTTTAAATTTAATAATTTGTTCAACAACAAGCAATAAATAAACAAATGTCATTCAAAGCATCTCGATTTAATGCGTATTGTGTAAATAAATCACATTTTCATGTAAGCGATTCGGTCAAGATTCTGTACAGGCACAATGTATTTAGCATTTATGAAGGCTGTTTAGTTAATACGACTTGTAGCACACACTAGTTGCCTCCACCTCCAGATGGATCATTATAATTATGTGATCACTACCATTACTTATACGGATAATATTTAATGAACATTGATGACAATATAGGTATATGATCATGTGGTCACTACCATGTCTTATACGGATAATATTTAATGGACATTGATGACTATATAGGTATAAAAATTATAGAAAAATCAACAACAATAAGACACTCTTCAGCAATTGCTCAAAAATAAAAAAGAAAAAAACGGTGCCGATTCGAAATTGAAAGAAAAAACACGTATAAAAATGATTAAGCTATTCTGGGAATTTAAGTCCCTGCTTAAGAATGAAAGACCTATAAAAGCAGATATGGAGAGAAGGAGAATTTTGATATTGTTTAAGTTTTATTGTTGCTAGAAGTCATGTAAAACGTGTATTTCAATCTACATGTACTAGTATTGACAAGAGCGCGAGTAATGACCTTAATCCTTCACCCTTTGGCATCAAATCAGTTGGTGTCTTTCCTACGTTGAAGAGCCAAGAACTTAAAAAGTTTACAGAGAACTTAAGTTATTAAAGGAAAAACGTTAAATGCAATACTAGTATTTAAATTTCTGACCTTGGCCTTTTGACCTCAAAATCACTAGGTATCTTTAGTGACGGGGAGTTATGGTGTAAAACTCATTGAAAAAAAAAATCAATGGGCTTTCTCTGCAAAAGCTCAAATAGAACTAAAATAAAAAGCTGGAAACAATTTCATGCAATATTTAGATTAATTTCTGACCTTGACCTTTCCCCTTTTGACCTCAAAAGTGCTAGGTATCTTCTTTAAGTAAGGGGGAGTAACAAAACTTCGTTGAAAAACTTAAGGACTTTAAGAAGATATCGGAAACTAAAGTGTAGCAGACAGACAAAATGATGGACAACCCAAAAAGACCCAAATTATCATTTCCCACGTTTAGCGAAAGCGAGGAGGACAATGGATATGGATGCAAATAGTTTAATACCAGAACTCCAGTTCAAGAAATGAAGTGTGAGTGTCTATCGTCCAACATAATTTAATTTAAAAAAACATTTGTAGAGGTAAACATGCATGCGAAGAACTAAAGCAAAACAAGTTCTTATATATACCCTGTAACCTCCATAATATTTCGTTTCCTGAATGGTAAATATTGAAAATGCTACTTTCGAAAATGACAAAGAATACAAATAAATTAACATATCAGTTTTCTCCTACACTATAGAAGTATCCTGACATGCACAACTTAAATGTTCCTCCCGTGACCCTATCATCATGTCCTCCTCAGAAATATTGTCCTGATCCAGGGGCTTTGAATACACTTTGCCAAACGTGGCATGTTTTTGTGAGCACTTAGCACGACATTTTGAATATGACGCCTCCCAACCTCGACGTATCTTCTGCACATATTTGTCAATACAAGGAAAAGAGAAAATAACCTTGAAGAAAAGTGTGAAGAATGGAATAATCAAACTTAGAAATGTTATAGATTGTAGCGTTTTGATGAGCCCTCCTTTCGCCCAACCGGGAGCACCCATGATGACCACGTGACAAATGGAGAGGAAAAGAACCACGTGACCAAGCTTTGATTGGACAAATCTCCATTCTCTCCAGTTCAAAGTTCTTGTGACAGAGGGCAATGTTGATATAGCGATGATACACATACAAACAAATGCTAAAATTCCCACTAAACACGCAGCCTCACCTTTCCAGACCATCCAGGTTTTGATGGGTATTTTGATGTCGTCTGTTCGATTTCCTGGAATGACTATTGTCGTAGACTGAAACCAGGAACTTAGATATGTGGGACTCATGATCAAAACAGACATGATGACATGGATACAAACAAGCACAAAGGCTATAAGACCCAGCTGTTTTCTTGTCAAAAGCCATCTATTTAACCAGCCTGGGAAGTTGATGTGCTTTGTACCATGATACAGCTGAAAGGCACTTGCAAAAGAGCTTGGTAGATATGTGCACGCATACACAGTCATGGCTGTCATGCAGAGAGGCTTGTTCAGAACTTTCACGAAGATCTGGTCCCATCGATACGCAGTTTTCTTGACGAAGTAAATGAAAATGATATATAAAAACCACACGACGAAAACCCCCACTGTGAAAAGTATAGGCGTTTTCCATCCAGGGAATATTTTCAACGGATACGATTCGATTCGTCGGGCTGACTGTAAGAGACCCCAGTCACTTGCAACGAATCCCATGTCTCTTGCAATAACACAAACTCTCTCCCGCGCTGCTAGATCATCGCCTGCTATAAAGACTTCCTGGCTTCCGCCCGCGAACTCATTTTCCATGGCGTATGCTGATATGACATTGAAGGCTTTGACAATATTAGCATTGGGTAAAAGTGAACTAAGATACTCCGCATTGGATCGGTGCTTAGGAAGCTTAAGCCTGTTAGAAACATCCACAACGGTTTTGCCAGTAAAAAGATCTTCATGGTTTGACAAACAATCTTTGTAGTTTTCAAAATGAATGGCCAAAAACACAATGGACACCTGCTTGACACAGTCTTCTAGTGACGTCATCGTAACATTGCAGAGACAATTATCTACTTCAGATAGATTGCGCGGACGTCGGCTTCCGATGACCACTTCATAACCGGCGTTTTTCAGTCTTTTGGCGAGGGCTCGGGAAAAATTCCCTGACCCAATGATCCCCACCCTGGTTTTGAGCTCACAGGGCATCATTCACTCCTGCAATGAAAACGATAACATTAGCAAGAAGTATATACTAGTAGAGCGGCGCAAAATTAAATTGTGGCGTTCATTCTTCTGAACATTAAATATCTATTCTTTTCTTTTAAAAAGATACAAAGCCGGACATAATAAGAACTTGAAGTTGTTGGCACGCTCACGTAGCAGTCGACCTTTTAGTGAACCATCCCATAAATTTTGGGATGGGTCAAAATATTAACCTGGTCACATTACACAGGTGGAAAAGGAAATAAAAATACGACATGACCCCTACATCCTCAATCGATCATGATACATGTATATTCCAACGGTGGTCATTTAAATCGAGACCAATTACCTGCAGGCCAGGACAGCTAAGGACGTTAATGGGGTGCAATTTACAAAATGATTACATCTAGCTTACAATTAGCACTTTCGACACGAATTGACAGGAGCTAACTACGGATAAACATATACACTACATGGCCGCAGGAACTGGGGTGGGGAGGGTGCCGTGTCCTCCCCCCCCCCTCAATAATTTTGCTGATATATAGTATACTAGTGCACCATAGAGAACATTTACTTTATGCTTGTGTCTCTCTCTAATTAACAATTTTCAATTGCCAATGAGTACATGACTAATTATAATTAGTCATGTACTCATTGGCAATTGAAAATTGTTAATTAGTGAAAGACACTTGTGTTCCCTCAAAAATAACATCTGATGAACCTTTTTTGGATGTCTAGGAATCTGTCTGGTAACCCCCCCCCCCCCCCCATAATGTTCTTTATTCATTTGAGAAACAGGGAGGTATCCAACTTTGCAGCCTCAGTGACCACCATCGGTAACCACTAAATTCATTTCAGTGCAAAACTGTGCGCAATAGACTTCAGAAAATTTTTGGACAAGACGGTCTTTTGGGGGGTCTTATTTTGACACCCAAGACTTTTTTTTGACACTAGGACATTGGGAATTTCGACTTCATTGGAACAGATGGCATATAAATTTACTTGTGTCGATTAGGCAAATGTTCAGAATATTGCGTGGTACGTGCGTTAGCAATATTCTGTCTACTGTAGAGAGGTGGGAGTTTCTCCGCCTTTTATTTAGATTTATTTTTTTTTATGTACATGCATCATCGTCATTATCATCATCATAAATCGTTGAACGAGAAGTACACACATAAATACACGACTTTTCCTTTTATAAATGTTTCTTTATATTCAAATTTTAAAAGCAAAGATATGCCTGATCAGAAAGTCACAATGTTATCGGGCACAAACATCACCGTTAAAAAAATTCTACGATATACACATGCATAATGCCTTATTGTATCATTTAATGAAACAACATGTAGCTGTACTTAATAACCTTAGATTATTAACAACTAAGGAAAAAACTAAACGTTTTGCTTTTTTGTATCTCAGGCCATTTAGAAGAAATGTAAATATTTCTTTTAACCTTAAGTGATATCCATAATTAACGCGTTATTTTAAGTTTTTCTTCCGTAAAGTGTCTTTGTTCAAGGTAAGTCAAATAAGCCATATTTCATTTAAGAAAGAAGGGTCTGTTAAATTCTAAAGGTCTACGTTAATTTATACAATCAGTGTAGAATATTGAGGCATAAGTAAATGGAATTCTCATAAATACAACAATTTAATATTGCTGATTTGTTCTTCACGATTTAGTACCAAATAATCAATTTATAATATACACTTAAACCGTCTCTGGTTAATTTTTTAAAGGTCACGTGAATATAGAAACTTTATTTTTAAGAAATGATATATTTCTATTCCACTTTGAACGAAATTCATGTCTTTGTTCAGCTTGAAATAAAACAGCTTGGTCGTTATGCAATCATTACAGATATGTATAGACCTGGGTGTGGATATGGTAATAAAAGGTAAATATACCTGCAAAGGTTGCTGAGAAAGTGGGATTTTGTATGTAAAACAGTCCCCCCACAGTAATACATTTGTATACAGAATGGGAGCGTGCACTCAACAAGGCAAATGTTTCACCTACTGACTTTAACCGGGAGGCGACTGTGTTGTTTTAGATATTTGAATATTATCTAAAAGTTTTGGTGGTGCGGTTGAAGTTTATCTAAGGACATATTAGACTGCTTAAATATAAGAATGTTGTCGGGTCATTGATAACTTTTCCAATTTTTAAATTTATACACAGAAAGCCTGAGAGAGAGAGAGAGAGAGAGAGAGAGAGAGAGAGAGAGATTTTCTCCATATCTACTAGATAATATTAATTAGTATACAAATTTAAGTTCAGAAATACAACGCAAGTAATAAAAATTATTTAGATAAAAAATTATTTAAAAAACAAGACCTAGTCTGAAAATGAGAATTAGTAAATATAATTCATTTCATTGGACAAAAACCACAAACTCCGACATACACTACTAATTTACTTATAATGAAAATAATGCAAATTAAATTATCATTTGAAGCTAAAAATAGAATAATTCATATAGTATTAAACGCTGATTAGGTGAAATACTTTTTAACATCAATGAGATATGGAAATTACCAACTAGAAAAAGAAAAATTAGAAATGGAAACTATATAAAAGATATCAAAGACACACAAATAAATAAAGATGAGTTTTACATACCTAGGACCAAAGATAAAATAAATTTGGGTCCGCGTGCAAAATGAAGTCTGTATTACCTGTGTGAATTCAATACACAGACACATCAGTATTTATCATTGTTCATGAAGCACGATTATGTCAACATTTAAATAAGGTGAAATGATTGGGCCTGGCCCCTCCCTCCAATCTTTAAAAAAAAAAAAAAAAAAACATTTCGTGTATAGTGACCTTTTTCGACCCCTCTACTTCCTGGTTGTCTTTTCGTCACATTAAAATACAGGTAAACTGCATGAACATTTTGCTAAGTTTAAGGTGTTTACAAGTCTATTACCATGCATTTGTAGGATATTTTTCTTCGAATTCTAATTTTTTTTACTGCACTTTATTTTAAGGGATACATGTAGATAAGACTAACTCAAAAACATCTACAGATCATTTCATTCACGGAAAATGTCCAGCATTTTTATATATCCTACTGGAGTTGACATTCTAGAAAAATGAGCATTAAGACCTTTTCCTCCTACTAAATGTAAGTTTGTTTCCCTTCAAAATTTTCAACTATAGCAATTTTGCAGAATCGTTTATCTTTTTATAACCAAGTTCAGTTGAAATGTACGTGTCATGAAGTCGAATTAGACGAAAAGTTGATGTAAGTGACTTTATTTTATTGCACATTTCCTTATTTTCCAGTTGACGACTTCGTTCGCTTCATGCAAGAAGCCATTTCTCCATGTATACATTTAATTTCTTTTATATACCCTTTTTAAAAATTAGTATCGTTGGAATGTTCCTTGATATTCCAGCACTTTTTTCGCATACTTCGATAGTATTCGCGAACTAAGATCACCAATAAATAAATAAATACTGTATTAATTAACTCGCCTATTACAAAAATCTTAACCGTGCAATGAAGATTCTGTTACCTCTCTGAATTTAATACCCCTTCAGTATATATATATATCCTCTATTAAAAGCTGCATACTCTGCCTCAATATCCAATTTCAACAAAAACAAATTATCATGGTTTGGTTCTATTGATATATTCAAACAACTACTTCCTCAGTTAATGCCTCATCTGAAATCATCTACATCAGCCTTTAAATATCATTGTAAACGCATTCTTAATTCATATTTTCTTGAAAAGTGGTATCAAAAGAAGGAACAATTAAGTACTTGTGGGAAGTTAGACACTTACTGCACAATCAAACAAAACTTTGGGCTAGAACTTTATTTATTAATCTTAAGAAAATTTGAGAAAAGGAAGATTTTAACAAAATTTCGAATCTCTTCTCACAATCTGATGATTGAAAAAGGTCGACATAATGGTATACCAAGAGAAGAGAGAATATGCCCCAATTGTAAATTAAAAGAGGTAGAAGATGAAATACATTTTCTTTTGGGTTGTCCATGCCACAGTCTATCAAGAATTAATTAACTCTCCACAATATCTCTGAGATCTCATCTTTTTAATAGTATGTCTAAAAGTAACCAATTTTTATGGTTAATGAACTGTGAAGATGTTGATGTGCTATGCAATTTGTGTGAATTTATAAGTCATGTGTAGTTAGACAAATTCAAAGTCACATGTTGATCTTGACTTTACTTACATGTACTTTGATTTAATACTTATACTACAGTATGTTATGTTGTTAATATGCGTGTGTTGTTGTATACTCTGCATTGAGCAGAAGTGGATTAATTAAAATAATAATACTATCCTTCAGCACTGACTCTTGCTGTCCATTGCAGTTTAATGTAATTTACACATGCCATTCAACATACAATTTTTTTTTCTTAATTATTATTATTATTATTATTATTATACTATTATTATTGTTATTATTATTATTATTATTTTTTAATACTCATTTCCATAGATTATGTATCTGTTTATTCTACATGAGGCAGAAGTGGATTTCTGTATATCCTTTAGCACCGTCTCTTGCTGCCTCTTGTTGATGTATCAGACATTTTTTATGTGTTCAGTTATATGTATAATATTAGTAATAGTAATGCACATCATTGCACATCAAGTTGTATCAATTAAGAGTACAAATATATCTTAAATAAAGACAACCTATGTCTACATGTGAAACTCAAAACACCACCAATGTACTAAATGGGAAGAATTGCTCTTCATTATATGTTGTATTCTGTCTGTTATCTTATCTGTAATTATACATGTTATATGTTTATGCCCATTGGGCCCTGATTTGGTAATAAATCCTATTCTATTCTATTCTATTCTATACATATATATATATATATATATATATATATATATATATATATATATATATATATATATATATATATATATATATATATATATATATTTGTCTGAATGAAAAATTCTCGAATGGAACGTAAAACAACATACAATGAGCATGGTTATGTCAACATTTGAATAAGGCGAAATGATTTTTTTTTTTGGTCGAGGGACTGAACATTATACATATGCATTTCATGTAGAATGACATTTTTGTTGACCTTTTTGCACAGTCCTGAGTTCACCCCTCTTCAGTTCGGAAATTATTACACGTCTTCTATAGTTTAAGGACAAAGCTTAAATTTAAATCTTTCAAAGTATTTTTAAAAATTGGCACAATTTCTCGTACGATTTTAGAAAGGATTACTTCACAAGTATTTTAATTTTATTGTATCTGAATTCTCATTTTAATACTACTCTCTTTTGAGAAGCCGATGCCTCGATTTAATACTCCCTTGGGAGGGGGGGGGTATTAAAACAAGCTATTAACTTCTCAATAGAGAATACCCCAATACCTCTTGAAGTGCTTTATATCCCATTGCCCTTTATGTACTTGCACACTTGAACTTTTTACCAGACGACTCAATATGTTCACAAATCATGCCCAATTAAGTTTCGACTAAAAAAATGTTATGAAGGTTTATCCCCTAAAATTACACACACACCCTCACACACACATTCCCCAGAAAAAAGTTGTAGTATTATCAATGTAAGTACTTACTTTTTTAACCTGTCGAAGAAGTCTAATATGATGTATGTGTAAAGTAAATGTAACCCACAATGAGCCATTTCTCCATATTTATGGCAAAAAAGTTTGATTTAATAATCTGTACCACTATGATGTGAATTTACTGTTACGTTCCCCCAATTTTTCACGGACTTGAGAGGATCTATATAATCATATCCATCAAAGTACGTTTATTACGTACTTTGACCAAACTGATTTTTTATGCACAATTGAAGAAAATTTACCGTACATTGTTCTTCTTTTTAATATATTTAATACCCATGCTTCTTTAAAAAAGGCAATTAGTACATAAATTTTTAACTCAAGTTTTAGATAAGCTCCGCCCCCCCCCCCCCCCAATTATTTTGATTTATCCCAAAGACAAAATTTATTGAACATTACGTATATTCTCTTGGCACACCATCCATGGACCAAGTTGACCAGCCTCTAGCTGTTTTGTTTTTTATTTGTGGCCCATGAATTTTTCGACTTTTAACTTTAAACGGTTAAAAACTTTTCTTTGGGAACAACTATTTTTGAGAGAGAGAGATTCTCTTGTTTAACATTTCAAAATTTCTTAAGCCTAATTTTTATGTTAATTTAATGAGTGTCTAAGGAAAATTTTGACATCAACACAAGTGAAATAGCTTTACCAAGGAATAAATTCTTTTTTAATGAGAATTTTCTATTGCTTTTGACATCAGAAAGTTTGAATTTCATATGAGCTGGCAAGAATATGGTCACCGAACATAAAAAGTACAATGTATCGTAGGAAGATTCCTAGATTGCTGTGGGCTAATGTCGTGATCGTATTGATCAAATCCGCGAGTTAGACATACACGTCACGAACAGATGAAATGAAGGTCTAGAGAAATAATTTTAAATCTTAAATATATTTATCAACAATTTATTTTAAACTTGTAGATGACATCGTCGTTCCAGAATCTTTCGTTATATCCATGATAAACATATACATTTAGCTCTTAATGCAGTATTTAAAACGTGTCTTAACAGAATGACAAAATATACCTTAAAGATGAAAATTTTGAAGGCAGATTTCATCTTATTTTTAGGTGTGTTTTGATTTCAAAATCATTCAGCAGATTAAACCTACATTAATACAATCATTTCGAAACTTATAGAAAATAATTACCTGTATAAAAGGACTGGCGATCAGCTGAAGAGGCAATCTGCCAGAAGTCTGGTCAATCACTGAGGTATACAAATGAAATGATTACTTCCAAGATTGACAGGTGCGATGACGGATAATGATCAGTCAAGTTTAGCGAAAAATGACGTTTGTCGGGAAACGTTTCTGATAACACGTACATCGATTGGCTTAAGATTTCCATAAAAACTAGGCTAAATAAGCTAAGCCTTAATTCTTTTTACCATCATTGTACTTTAGTAAGATGTATATTGCATCAGCTTTATTTTATGGGCTTTTTCTGCATCCGGATTGCTTTAATATATCACAAACTAAATGTACTGTAAGTTTTATTTTGATAAAAACTATTCATCCTAAAAATTAAGAATACATTGATTTTCTCTGTAAGGTAATACTGTAAATAATTATTTTGATAAAATTTATCCATGCAAAAAATTAAGCAAATAGTGATTTTGTTTAAGAAAGTGTGCATTACTAAAAGCAAAAAGAAACTCAACAATAGCCATTAATTAGTATTTTCAAGGTCAGACTGTTTGTGTATAGTGAAAAGGCTAGAAGAAATTGTGCATTAATGCACGGGGACTTGCTCCTATATTCACACATGTAAGCCCTTTTAAAAAGGCAAATACTAACAACTAATATAACACTTTTATATTGTTTTAGTTGTTTTGAAATATATGACTTTTGAAATATTTTTTTCTTGCACTCTTGGCCCCCTGTGGGAGTGTGTACGCTTTAGTTTATAGAAAATATTTTAGATTCTGAATTGTAAATTATTCACCCTTTTCTTGATAAGTAAACAGTGTTTCTTTGGATTATCTATACGCTAGTGATAACTGTTTATTTTGGAAAGTACACCACAGACTTAGGGATTTAAATGAAATCGATCAATCGTCTTCACAAGCCCACGTCAATCCGAACAATAACGTAATGCATCATGACGTAAGCTAAAAAGATAACATTTATGTTATCGAACACGATCAACATCAGTTTTTAACAAACGTGCGAAATCGTTCTCCTACACATGTAATATAACCTTGAGAAATTCAAATACGTGTTCAACAAACTTTTCCTAAATTAGTGTTTAACATTTGGTTTCATCCAAAAAAAATGTCTCAGGTTATAACAGTAATTTGGAGTAATGAAACACCGCTTTTTGCTCTAAGCCTATAGACAACATAGATGGCAGACCGAGGTAATTCAGTCTAGGCTTGATAATACTTGCCTCACAATCATTTGCAGTACATTTTGCACCACAGTAGGTGACAGCAAAAGAAAAGTCGGGTAAATTTTACGCAGACTAATCGGTGGGGGATACATATTCTCTTTAGAGAAGTGGACAGGCTTTCGCCTACATCCAGATGTCAGATGTAGACGAAAGCCTGTCCACTTCTCCAAAGAGAATAGAGGATACAATGTTCTCGATAACCAAGAGAAGGGTGGTCCCAAAATATTCCCCTATCTTGCCCCCTTTCCACAGGAAATTATGAATCCGCCCAGTAACTCAGTTATTAACTGGTTTCCAGATACTAGTAAACTTTCCAAAAATCTAATAGAAGTACGACTGACCAACATCTTTAGACGCTTTTTAAAACTTTTGTTAAAAGCTTTTATACTAGTATTTTAAACTACCAAACCAAACCTAGCACAATACAATGCGCATATAGTTTGTCATGAATTTGATAGGTGTAGGTTGGAACTAATGTTGTTTTTTTGGGGGTATTTTTTGCTAATAAATCATACACTACAAACTGTCAAATAAAATTGCTGGAAAAAAATATAAAACAAAGATCCTACTTACAATTTCAGAATGGTTCACTTTGCAGAATTTTCTGCATTTGATATCGCAAACTTACTATGCTAGCAATCTGAAAATGGCAAAATAAGCTCTGGGACAAATTTGTGAATGTGTTCCTAAATATATAAACATGTACTACCTGGTATAGTCAACTGAAGAACTGGAAAAATTGTCTTGGGCATTCTTGGATTTTGCTACAGAATAGAAATAATGAAAAAAAAATGATATCATTTATTTTGACACATATTATCACATCACATTTAACACATGTAAACATTAAATCATAAAAATAAATATTTAATAGATTTCATAAGAACCTACTGAATAATTTTTTAACTATTACATCAAAATAGCCATATCAGCTTGCAATCTAATTGCTCAAAGTAGTGCAAGACATTTCAAACCCGTTTCATTTAAGTGGTCTGGTTCAAACTCAAATTAAAGGGAATACAGTTGCTTGTTTAATGATACATGAAAAACTCCCAGTTTTGAACAGATATGAATAAATGGTTTACAGTACATCTAAAAAGATGTAAAAATTTTAAATAATCTTCAAGTATTCTCTATATCTGAATTCATAATATATAAAGTTCTGTATTTTTATAGTCAATAAATGTCTTTTCTTTCTAGTCTTACAGAACATAAAGATTAACAATACTGTATTGTTTCAAAAATATTTAAGCTTTTCATCTAATTGCAATATCTGAGAGTGCCTGTGATTGACATTTCATGGAAATCAAACCACAAATAGAAACAACAAAAAGCAGTGGTTTGTATAATCAATAAAGCAGAAAACCATGATCAGGATACTAAATAAATTAGTGAACTCTTTAAATGAAGTTTACATCAATTTACAGACATTTATGTATTAACCTAACCTTCAAAGATATATAACCATAAAATCAAGATTAAATGATTGAAATAGTCATTGTGACTAGAGCAGTGTGTTCTTCTCTTAATGTCAGGGGACATCTCAAAACATTCATATACAAGTAAACGTTTTGTACACATTACATTCTTAAAATAAGTCTAGCATCAGCTAAATGATGAGACTGTCATTTTTTTTCCCTGGCTGTCCCCTTCAAAAATGATAATACATGTATGTGTCTGCAGTTACACTGTATTTATCTTAAAGGGATAAATTCCATGTATTCTTTACTTTATACAATATAGGCATTGATTTACTTATTAATATTATTCATGTGAATTTAATTTTCCTGTTATTATTATCTAGTAAAATTATTTGTAAATAAAATAAAATTTGGTGAACAAAATGTGAATCGCAGTGAAAAATGGAAATTAATCATACTAAATTATATTTGTATCAAATTATCTATAGTAGTATAAAACTTGTCATTATTTATTTAAAAAAAAACTTGTCAAAGCCTAAAGGAATGCATGAAATCGATCCACGCCAATGTTTTAAGATTATATAATATATCTGAGAGATGGGTCTATCCTGATATCTGTAGGAAGTACTTTTCACCAAATAAAAAAAAACTGGAAATCCAAAATGTGTTCTATTAAAAAATGAAAAGCTTGTTTAAATTTACAGGGTAAAGTGTTTTCACGTTTATGTGCTTAAGCATGATCATGCATGTATGATTTTTTTTCCCTCCCTGACGGCAGTTATTATTTTTCACGTCTTCAAGTCTTGGTCCATTATGTCACAAAAATGGTAATTTTTTTAGTTAAAATTTTTTTTATTATGCAATATTAATTGATAAAATAAAACTGTACATCCTAGCTCAAACTTAACTTCTTGATACTTAATGTATATATATATGTAGTAACACATCAAAATTTTATAACAATCTTAAAAGTAGTTTGCATACTGGTATATTTCTTAAAATAAATTTAAAAAACTGGCTAACAAAATCTAGTAAATGCATCTATTTTTAAATCTTAATCAAATAAAATTCCCAAATATACCCAAGAAAGTTACTTTCCTGGTATAATTAAGGTTTCTGTCCTCCAAGTTAATTTTTTTTTAATTTCTCACTGCCTTTTAAAGTATTTTGATTCTTTTTTTCAAACTTTATATTTGGATTTTATTACAATTGTACATGGCACTGAACTAAAAAAAAACCCATTCACAAACATATTCACTGAAGTTTTGGAGAGATTGCACTAATGACCCCAAAGTCTCCTAGCAGGGAGTTGTTGTCATGACTTCCTCTTCACCATAAAATATATGGCCAACACAACCACCACAACAAGAACAGCGCAGATCACCAGAAGAAGGAGACGATTTTGTATAATTCTACAAGAAGGAAACGTATAAACATGAAACAATTATAAACACAAGATAGTAACAAGTTTCCATCTTCATATCCATTTAAACTGAGCACTGATGCAAACTTCTGTACTTGACTACATGCAGAGGAAGTCTCTGAAAAGAATGTAGCTCAAATGACGCAGAATTACAAAATCAGCAGCCACCAATTTCATAGGCAATCGGTTTAATTTCATGTATATCAAAAGTTTGTTTTTTCTTATTATGCAATATTAATTGTAAAAATAAAACTGTACATCTTAGCTCAAACTTGACTATATATTGCTAAACCCCCTAACTCCATCACTACCCTAACTTTTTCACTTTTGGGACACTCCACGCTGTTTGTAAACAAATGTGATTGTGACGTCATTTTTTACATGCTGAAAATCTACAATCAAATGCCAAGAAATTATTACAGTCCAAGTTCAAGAATGCGTCAAATATAAATAACAATTACAAGCAATCTATTGTATCTTTCATGTTTTATGTGAAATCAGTAAGTACCTTTTCCTTTATGCACTATTCCATCAATACCTCCAAAACCTGTGTCAATATGCTCATTTTTACATGTCAGTCATATTTATGAAGGTCTTTGTGAAAGGATTAATATGTTTACAAGTTTATTAAGATGAAGGGAGAAAAAAAACTAAACTGGAAAAAAATTTCTAATTAATACTTTGACATATTGCAGAGGGCCCTGGTGACATAGTTAGGGTTCATTGGAGGTATATTATATACACGGATGTGATACACGTTCTTTTTATAGTACGTAGTTTTGTATAAGCCCAATAACTGATTTTTAAAAAAAATAGTCCTGAAAACAATGTTTAAGTTCATTACTAAGTGTAGCAAACAAGAAACAAATCAAAAAATAATTCAGAGAGTAACCTGGCGTGTTTTCCGCTTATGGTGACAGAGTTTGGGTAGTACGGGACAAAAATGTAGTACATCAAAATTTTATAACAATCTTAAAAATAGCTTGCATACTGGTATATTTCTTGCCAGAATAAATTTTAAAAACTGGCTAAAAAAATCTAGAAAATGCATCTATTTTTAATCTTAATCAAATAAAATTCCCAAATACACCCAAGAAAGTTACTTTCCTGGTATAAGGTTTCTGCCCTCCAAGTTAAAATTTTTTAATTTCTCACTGCCCTGTAAAGCATTTTGATTCTTCTTTTTTTTGTAACATCGTATTTGGATTATTATTACAATTTTACATAGCATTGACCTAAAAAGGCTGAAACCATTCACCAACATATTCACAGAAGTTTTGGAGAGATTGCACTAATGACCCCAAAGTCTCCTAGCAGAGAGCTGTTGTCCTGAATTCCTGTTCACCATAAAGTATATGGCCAACACAACAAAAACAGCATTTTTGTAAATTTATTTACTCTGTGTGTACATTTACTAAATAATTTACATGATTCCTTTAACTAACTGACTTAGAAATAAATAAAATTAATTTGTTCCTAGGAATGAATGAAAAATCAAACAAACCATCACATTAGTATAATGGGACTCTTTTCTAAATATAGGCTTGGCTTGATGTTACTTAATTTTCTTGTCACGCAAAAATAACAGGGAACTATTTTCTTTTGATAAGAAAAATACATGACGTCAATTACCTGTGTTTGTAAACACTAAAATTTTATCAATAAATTTCTATAAAGGTTACAATGACTCAGATGGCATTGCTGTCTGATGTCTTGGCAACAGACAGTATTAGATTTAGTCAAGATTTGTTGTTCAAGTTGTTCAGTAGAATGCTTGTGATAACTTGAGTTTGGAAGTTCATACTAGCTATCAGATGGGGAGTTTGAGGATTAATAGAGACATGCTTAACACCCAAACAAGACCAGAACATTGGACTTTAAGATAAAATTTATCTTGATATCATTATCACATACATTACAGGTTACATAACATTTTGTCATTCTTGAATGCATCATTAAAGTTCTGCAAAACAGTAGGAATGAACCTTTACCATAAAAATTAAAAACTGAAAATTGGGCAGGGGTGGGTGGGGAGTGGGGGGTGTTGATTCTCCCCCCCACCCCCCTCTCCACACATGCATATGTTAATAACTTTGATAATGATCCAAACTTCCCATTTTTATTTAGATCTTTATGTTGTAACCTTTTTTCAGGGTTAACCCCTGACTTTTTTTTTTTTTAGCAAAGATAGACATAATACAGGCATTGAAAATTTGGGACTTAGCGCTAAAAACTTTTTTTGTTAGTTTAGCCCCCCGCTTTTTTCAATTTGCTTCCAACGCCTATGATTTCTGAACTCAAATTTATGTTGATTAGGCTGAATTTAACTTTTCTTGAATCCTCCTATATTAATTAATTTGCTCATGTGAGACAAGCTTTTTAGGAAAGCTAAAACTTGTTAAGTAATCTAGTATTAAACACTTAAATTTCATTCTAATTGATGATCAGTTAGTTAGAATAATCTATCTGTGTCCCAGGGATCCTTAAACAGAGAACGTAAGACTATATCATTTGAACTATTTCTATTCAGTGATCAGTGTACTCTCCCTGAAGACTCTGGAAAGCTCCTGAGAATCAGCAATTAGAGAACCTTATTTTAACACATAACATAATATTATTTTACCTTGATTACATCAAAGTATAACAGTGAAAACTATATCAGATTTGGGAGGGGGGGGTGTTTATAGAGGGGTGGCCTTGAGTAGCACCTCGATTGAATCCATGCCCGTATACAGTTATGGCTCATTTGATTAGGACTTGTGAGACTTACCTTTTCATCATTCCTGATAAAACACGAGAGCTTTTTCCAAGGTTTGTGTTCATTTCTTCCATCTACAACAGAAAGGTCACTTGGCTACAATGCTTACCTGGTGAAAATGTTTCATATAAGCTATGTACTATAATCATTAATATGTTGAAATACAAACTACAGTTTACTGGGGGATACTACCATAAAGTAGCAAATTTTCATTGAAGGTGAAAAAGAGATACATTATGTACTATATTGCATCCCGTAACTGACCTATTCAATCACCATTCTAGTAGTTTGACCTTGACCGATGCCCCTAAACAAAAAAGCTGGCTGATGGTGTATATTTTCAAGTTACTCTTCTAACAGCAGTTGTACCAAAATAACTTGATTGTCTTAACTTCCACAGATCTCAATTTCTGCATTTAAGTTTTTTGACACTAGTTCAACCAAAACAGTATAATTGTCATATAAATGTTTATACAAGCTACTTGCAGCCTGTAAAAATGAAAGAATAAAGAATCAATATGGTCTGGACTGGGCTCTAACTGATGTAAAATGTAGATCTGTTTGAATTATCACATAAGAACTACGAGTAGTTGTATTACACTGTATATGTACTCACCCTGTGCCGAGACCTGTTTATTGTCTGTCTTTGATTATGAAGATCTTCCATGATTTGGGCACCTATCTGTTCTGTAATTAAATTAAAATACAAAGTCTGAAATTAATCATGCACAGTTTTCATGGCGGCCTTAGAGCAAGACATGAAAACATGAAACTTGAAATATACAGTCAAACCTCGTTATCTTGAACTCAATGGGACCAAGGAAAAACTTCAAGATATCCAATTATTCGAGATATCCAGGGTAAAATACTTCAAGAATAAGGGATTGGGACTTCCAAATCACCTTGACATATCCATGGTATTTGAGATATATCAGTGTGAGATACTGAAGTTCAACTGATATGTGTATGTGTGTGTACACCAAACAATTAAAATCATTCTTATGTTGCTTCATCTTAAAATACATTTGTAAATGTCGAGTTCAGATATTTATTTGGTTGATATTGGCATGACTGAACTGGTCATTTATGATCATTATGATCATGTCACAGGTATTGCACATGTAAATTATGAAAGCCCTGTCTCTTCAGGTGCAAAAGCTAGGCCAAGGTCAAAAGTTTTGAAAAATATGTCATACTTTCAGGTCAACATCATGAGGTTAAAAATCATCATACATACAGAAAAGTCTTGTCACAGGTAATGCACATGTTAAATATAAAAGCAATATCTTCTCTCATTATCTCATTCAAAAGTCATGACAAAGGTTAAGGTTTTTTGTGACTGACAGACAGACAAATGAGATTTAATGTCCCTACACTTTGGCAAAAGCAGGGGAACAATAATAGCTCATTGCAGTCCCCCTCCCAAATATTCCTCAAATGAATAATGATGGGTCAATTTAGTAAATATTGCTTAAAATATAGGAGGCTTGCATATTGTAAATCCTTATAAGGTTTAATGACATGGAAATATGAAATTTCATTTGAGGTCAAAAGAAACTGAATTTTTTTCTCACAAAATTCAGTCAATAAGCAGCTAATCAGGTTTTCATGTTCTGCAATGCTACTAAACCACAACAAAAGAAACCCGAGTTAGCAAAAGCCCAATTAGTTAATGTCAACTTTTAAAGTGACACATAGGCACATAAGAAATTAATGAATCTGATAGTGTTAGATAACCTTGAATCAAAGTCACAACAAATGTTATTGGTCCTATAAATGGTGACCTTCCATTAGTCTTTAATCATCACTTTCTTCCACTACATTAAAAGGTTATCAATGCATTCTTTTTTATGATCACAACAGAAGGCTATGACACCTCCTAAAATAATTTTAAAAAGTTATTAAAAAAAAATTCTTCAAACTTCTTTTACTAAATGTATATCAATTTGATAGAACAAATAATTTGCATCACCTGGAGCAAACAGTTACATAAAATTTTTTATCACTTCAAAATATTGTTTTCATTGGTCCATCCTGCTCAAATAAAAAACAGCTTCCTGAAATGTGATACCATGATTACCAGAGTGTACCAGTATCTCAAACCCCCATACCCATTGTCTCCCCACCCTTTAAATCTACAGAGATTGAAGATTGTGACGCAAATTGTAGTTACACCGCATGACATGAAATAACTTTCTTTAAACCATATCTTTAGATATTTTCAATTCAAAAAGCTGTTTGATTTTGATGTAAAACACTTGCAGTCTACATAGGTGGTCGATACAAGTGAATTTGTTATGTCGTAGAATGGAGAAAGAGTACAGAAAATATCATCACACTTATATGTAATTATAACTGGTTTCAACCACAAGGGTGGATATTCCATAAAGTAAAAACCAGTAGATAAATTTAACTTCATAAAAGGTAGAGATCGTCAAGTACACAGAGGTATAGCACACTTAGTGTACCAAATGGCCTACAATATAGCGTATTTACAAACATCCACAACATTTCAATATTTTATGATATCAAGTAAATCTAGCTATAAACAAATACAAATTATACCAGTACCTGGCAAAATTGTCATAATTATCTCAGACAAGAGTAATTAAATTTAAGATGTTGCATGGGATATATAGACTCCGAAATCTATTGAGTGAGCAGTGAAAAATACAGATTTGTGTATTTGAACCAACTTACACCAGAAAAATCTTGAATGGGTTACAATCTTTTGATATCATAGTACATGTATACTGTTATATAGCAGCAGAACTGTACCTCTCTGCTTGAGAAAATTTGGACAGATAGAGCAGATCTGTATGAATTTTCTCAAGCAGAGAGCTACAGTTCTGCAGCTAACTGTTATATCAAAATCTGTGTGGTTTAACTTGGTCTTCATATTACAAATTGACTATATATTTCAGTTATCATATTTTCTGAAGAACTCTAACACGGGACTATATATATACAAAAAGAACAGAATTGAACGAGAATTGAACCCAGGCCTCCCAATCACGAAACGAACTCCTTACTACCAGGCTATCGTGACAAGTACTTTGAAATGAACCTGCTTCATAGATTTATCTTTTTCACTCATCTGGAAATGTAGGTCAGATGCAGCCTGGTAGTGAGTATCATTAGATGCATCATCAATGCCAGTTCAGGCACCAAAAGGCTTTTAGTAACTAATATCTAGGAAGAGACCTGAACTATTAACCAGATCATATCCAGCATCTGAAGCAAGTCTAGTAGCGTGCACCCCTGGATGCATCATTCAAACATGTTTAGTACTTCTAGAATTTATAGTTACTTAGGAATGGACTTCCTCATAGGAAAGATGCACCATCTGAAGCAAGTTTGGTAGTGTGTATCCCTAGATGTATCATCTATGCAAGTTCAGTCACCATAGGGCTTATGGTTACCTGGCAATGGATCTACTTCAAAAACTTTAACCCAGTCACTCATCAAACTAAAATATGTCCATAGGACATGGATGCCTTGCCAAGGGTATAATAGTATTAGTGTATGAAGTTTGATGAGAATTAGTATCTTGAATAGTATCTTTAAAATTGAAATTGAAATATAAGAAATTGGATACATGTATATAGATGATAAATTCTCACCATATTATGTATAAGTGCATGAGCTTACATAAAAATATCTTAAATGGTTTCTTTAAAATTAAGCAAAATGCAAATTTAAGAAAAGTGAAGTCAAGGTCACAGGAAAATTCAAGGACAAAAGTTTTTGAAGCAGTTGATTAGCTCTCACTAATATGTGTTAGCATATGAAGTTTGATTAAAAAATTCTTGAATGTTTTTTTTTTCCTAACTGAGCTTAACACTAATTAAAGAAAAGAGAAGTCAAGGTCAAAGGAAAGGTCAAGGTAAAAAATGTTGATGCAGTTAAATAGCTTACATCAATGTGTATTGGCATATGAAGTTTAATTACACATCTTGAATAATTTATCTTCATTAAATTATAAAGCCTTCAGCTTTCATAAAGTGTACAATTCATTGATAAGATTCATTCCTTGATGAACAAAATAACTGATGTAATTAATCCTGCAATGACTTGTGGTAAGTTTGGTTGAAACTGTTCTACTGGACCTGGGAAGAAGTCGAAAATGTTATCAGATGACAGACAGAGGAAGACTTGAGCCTTTGGCTCAGGTGAGCTAAAAAATAACCACAATGGGAAATATTCTATATATTCTATTCTATATTATTATATCATATTCTAAATACACATGCAGACAAAGTGAGAAAAACCTATTTCAAGAGATTCCATTAATGTTTTATCATTCAACTTAATCTTTGATCATCATTAAAATCAATGTTAATTGTGGCAGCAAGTAAAAAAATATTGTGCTTAGACAATCAACAATTCCTAAACTAAACCACATTTCTCATCTAATCACTTTGGCCCTACTGTTCTTAAAAGATAATTTTTAAAAGATTCTTTTTTATATTCTTACAACAATTTTGACCACATATTATGGCCCCATCCTATCCCCCCTCTCCCATGGAACAATAATTTTAATAAACTTGAATCTGCAATTCCTGGGGATGCTTGGACATATGAATAATTATAATTCTGTATTCTTGAAAAAAAAATAATATTCATTTTTTTTCATATACAGGTGAACTTCATTATCTCAAATAGGATATGTCAAATTGTGTTGAACAAATATACATGAACGAATCTAAATCTCCTTTACTGAATGAAGCTTTGTGGCAAGTTTGGTTGAAATTGTCCCAGTGCTTTTGGAGAAGATGCTGAAAATGTGAAAAGTTTACAAACAACAACAAAATATGACAGACTACAGACAGACGGACAGACAAATGCTGGCCATTTCTTCTGAAGATTAACAAATTCATCATTATGGCATCAAAGATTTTCTTATCCGTGCCCCAGTTTTAATATAATTAAGGAAAACAAATTACCTGTTTCTAACGTGATTTTGTATCCATGGTCCAGTCTTCTGGAGGTTCTGTCTAATGTCTCAGTATTGTCTAGGAGCCTCTGTCTCTAAATTAAAGAAATGAAGAAATCTCAACCACTGAACTACTGTATACAATTTTGACTTTGTCTATGATTATATGCATGTTTTCTAATCAAGTCTGCTTAAACAGAATCATGAGTACACATAGACCCTTTTCATGTACATTTATGTATAAGCTGTTCAAGTTGCCATCTTTGACTTGGTACCTAGCATCAAATTAAATGGTGAACAGTGCATGATGATGGACAGGAATAAGTGACTCAGCAGGTGAGTGGTCTAAGTCCTCAATAATAGATACATGTACATTGGTACATGACTATATGATTGAGCCAAAGATATTCCATTAAGTTTGTATAGTGATAAAACAACATTACCTGATCTTCAGAGTCGTGGGTGTCATCTCCCAGAAGCTCATCTCTACTGCTGTCTATCCCAACTTTGGCTCGTTTCTGTTAAATTATCAAATAAAGTTTTAATAAAGCAAGCAAAACCAATGGAAAAAATTCAAATGGGATAAATGAAAATCATTTTCATACCATTACTTATCTTCTACTTGCTGTGTACTACATCATCTTAAATAATGTGTAATTTTCCATCAAAGTTTTATATTTTAACAACTTTCAGTTATAAATTTTTCTTGAATTTGACCTCTTTTCTTTTAGTAAAAATTATACCAAGTATTAATCATAACAGGGCTCTCACAACACTTTTTGGGACTGGGGCTGAAGCCATAAAAATTGGGAAAATTAATGACCTATAGGGGAATTTTGGGATTACACATTAAACTCATTATATATCATGTTTATTGGGTTCCTTGTCAACTACATTTAATTTATGTAATACAGAGTAATATGAGTAGCAAGTTAATTTATTGTTATCCAACTATATTTTCTTTAATTTGGTGGGGAAAGTCTAATGGGAAAATTAACACATTCAACTGGGAAGAAAGGTACCTTCTTGAATTGGGAATGGGCCCTTTGAATGGCCCCAATATTATAGAGACTCAAGAGCCCTGCATAACCTTACACAACATTTGTATGATCAAGTACCCGGTAATAATAATTTTTCAATAAAATTACAATAACAGATGTCTTAATTTTCATCAAAAAAAGGTTTTTTTCTTTTAAAATAAATACTGTAGCTGATTTAGATGATATAGAACCTCTGGTTGTGATGCCATAGACATGCATGGGGCTCTCTTGCAATGCATTACATGTATTATGATGAAAACAATTAAAAAAAAAAAAAAAAAAAAAAAAAAAAAATGCCAGGAAAAATGCATTAAATCTATCCTTCTTATATGAAACAAATGACTGAAATGACATTATTTTACAGTAAAAAAATTATACATTAAAACAAGCTTATAACGAAGTGCCCGGGACGTACAATTTTACTTCGCTATAAGCGTAATTCGTTATATCCATTAAGTTTACAATATTTTTTAAAGTCACATGGAATAAAAATTACTTCATTATTAAGGTCTTCCGTCTCCACGGAAGACCTTATAGTGATTCTATTGTTTCTTATTAAGGTCTTCCGTCTCCACGGAAGACCTTATAGTGATTCTATTGTTTCTTATTATTATTATTATTCTTTTTTTTTAGACAAAATTTTGTGCACGCCATTTCTCGAAAACTATTCAATGAATTTCTTTGAAATTTTCAGGGATAAAAGGTCTTTATATGAATTTCATATAAAATTCCGTTTTTTGGTAAATTCGGTTCCAGTGCCAAGTTATGGACAATTTCCTGATTTTAAAATGAAATTTTGTCCTCGAAGGATCTAAGAAACCGCTAAAGATATGAACTGGAGACTTGTTAGAGATGATAGACCATGACTTCTAGATGTTCGAAATTACCTTGGTTTTCGTCGTCAGTACTTCCGGTCATCACCGGAAGTGTTCAAAGAAATCGAAAATTTCAACTTTTCTTTTTTTAATCAAATCTTGCATCACATTATTGCAACTCTTTTGCAGTTTTGAAATATGTTGGTCCCACCGGAAACCAAAACGAAAACTTCCGGTTATAAGAGAAAAACTACATAATTTAAGTATTTTACTTTCCAATAAATATCTTTTATAGGTAAAGTATTTGAAATGATTTTTAGATATGTTATTCAGATTTCAAATGTCTAGAGCAACATCAAATATCTTTGCAAAATTCACTTCCGGTCGCGTGTTTTTTCTGTCCTCAAAGTGAGAAAATATCTGAGCGAGATCTCAGAAACGGTAAGAGATTAAGACAATAAACTTATATGAGTAATAGATCTTGAAGAGTAGGCAAAATCCTTTGGGTTAAACTTTCAGCCGTCACTTCCGTTCGTCACAGGAAGTGATCAAAGAAATCAAAAAATTCAACTTTTCTTGTTTAAATTAAAACTTGCATCACCTTATTGCATCTCTTTCGCTGTTTTGAAAAATGTTAGACGCCTCCGGAAACAAAAACGTCAACTTCCGGTTTTAGGAGATAAAATACGTTATTTTGATATTTAACTTTCTCATAAATATCGCTTATAGAAAAAGAATTGAAATGTTTTAATACATAGATACTGCAAATGTCTAGACAGGCAAGAGATTTTTTATAAAATTCACTTCTGGTCGCGTGTTTTCCTGTCCTCAAAAGTAGAATTTGTTCTCACAATTGCTCGGCAACAATAGACGACTGAAGTCTGAAACTTTCAGGACTGATAGTCCGTCATCAGTTTATTTGCATTGTATGAAAATCGTGTGTCGCTGTTACTTCCGGTGGTGACAGGAAGTGATGCAAAAAAGTGAATGGTTAATGGTTAGCACGTTGGATTTTCACACTGACGACCAGGGTTAAATCTCCAGAGTGTCTGAATTTCTTTTATCACTTTTTCAGCTTGAATTTTCGTTTTTATTTTCAGAATCGGACGGAAGACCTCTCATTGCTCGCAATGAGTTTCTAGTTATTATTATTATTATTCTTTTTTTTTTAGACAAAATTTTGTGCACGCGATTTCTCGAAAACTATTCAATGAATTTCTTTGAAATTTTCAGGGATAAAAGGTCTTTATATGAATTTTATATAAAATTCCATTTTTTGGTAAATTCGGTTCCAGTGCCAAGTTATGGACAATTTCCTGATTTTAAAATGAAATTTTGTCCTCGAAGGATCTAAGAAACCGCTAAAGATATGAACTGGAGACTTGTTAGAGATGATAGACCATGACTTTTAGATGTTCGAAATTACCTTGGTTTTCTTCGTCTGTACTTCCGGTCGTCACCGGAAGTGTTCAAAGAAATCGAAAATTTCAACTTTTCTATTTTTAATCAAATCTTGCATCACATTATTGCAACTCTTTCGCAGTTTTGAAATATGTTGGTCCCACCGGAAACAAAAACGACAACTTCCGGTTATAAGAGAAAAACTACATAATTTAAGTATTTTACTTTCCCATAAATGTCTTTTATAGGTAAAGTATTTGAAATGATTTTTAGATATGTTATTCAGATTGCAAATGTCTAGAGTAACGTCAAATATCTTTGCAAAATTCACTTCCGGTCGCGTGTTTTTCTGTCCTCAAAGTGAGAAAATATCTGAGCGAGATCTCAGAAACGGTAAGAGATTAAGACAATAAACTTATATGAGTAATAGACCTTGAAGAGTAGGCAAAATAATTTGGGTTAAACTGTCAGCCGTCACTTCCGTTCGTCACAGGAAGTGATCAAAGAAATCAAAAAATTCAACTTTTCTTGTTTAAATTAAAACTTGCATCACCTTATTGCATCTCTTTCGCTGTTTTGAAATATGTTAGACTCCTAAGGAAACAAAAACGTCAACTTCCGGTTTTAGGAGATAAAATACGTTATTTTGATATTTAACTTTCTCATAAATATCGCTTATAGAAAAAGAATTGAAATGTTTTAATACATAGATACTGCAAATGTCTAGACAGGCAAGAGATTTTTTATAAAATTCACTTCTGGTCGCGTGTTTTCCTGTCCTCAAAAGTAGAATTTGTTCTCACAATTGCTCGGCAACAATAGACGACTGAAGTCTGAAACTTTCAGGACTGATAGTCCGTCATCAGTTTATTTGCATTGTATGAAAATCGTGTGTCGCTGTTACTTCCGGTGGTGACAGGAAGTGATGCAAAAAAGTGAATGGTTAATGGTTAGCACGTTGGATTTTCACACTGACGACCAGGGTTAAATCTCCAGAGTGTCTGAATTTCTTTTATCACTTTTTCAGCTTGAATTTTCGTTTTTATTTTCAGAATCGGACGGAAGACCTCTCATTGCTCGCAATGAGTTTCTAGTTATTATTATTATTATTCTTTTTTTTTTAGACAAAATTTTGTGCACGCGATTTCTCGAAAACTATTCAATGAATTTCTTTGAAATTTTCAGGGATAAAAGGTCTTTATATGAATTTTATATAAAATTCCATTTTTTGGTAAATTCGGTTCCAGTGCCAAGTTATGGACAATTTCCTGATTTTAAAATGAAATTTTGTCCTCGAAGGATCTAAGAAACCGCTAAAGATATGAACTGGAGACTTGTTAGAGATGATAGACCATGACTTTTAGATGTTCGAAATTACCTTGGTTTTCTTCGTCTGTACTTCCGGTCGTCACCGGAAGTGTTCAAAGAAATCGAAAATTTCAACTTTTCTATTTTTAATCAAATCTTGCATCACATTATTGCAACTCTTTCGCAGTTTTGAAATATGTTGGTCCCACCGGAAACAAAAACGACAACTTCCGGTTATAAGAGAAAAACTACATAATTTAAGTATTTTACTTTCCCATAAATGTCTTTTATAGGTAAAGTATTTGAAATGATTTTTAGATATGTTATTCAGATTGCAAATGTCTAGAGTAACGTCAAATATCTTTGCAAAATTCACTTCCGGTCGCGTGTTTTTCTGTCCTCAAAGTGAGAAAATATCTGAGCGAGATCTCAGAAACGGTAAGAGATTAAGACAATAAACTTATATGAGTAATAGACCTTGAAGAGTAGGCAAAATAATTTGGGTTAAACTGTCAGCCGTCACTTCCGTTCGTCACAGGAAGTGATCAAAGAAATCAAAAAATTCAACTTTTCTTGTTTAAATTAAAACTTGCATCACCTTATTGCATCTCTTTCGCTGTTTTGAAATATGTTAGACTCCTAAGGAAACAAAAACGTCAACTTCCGGTTTTAGGAGATAAAATACGTTATTTTGATATTTAACTTTCTCATAAATATCGCTTATAGAAAAAGAATTGAAATGTTTTAATACATAGATACTGCAAATGTCTAGACAGGCAAGAGATTTTTTATAAAATTCACTTCTGGTCGCGTGTTTTCCTGTCCTCAAAAGTAGAATTCGTTCTCACAATTGCTCGGCAACAATAGACGACTGAAGTCTGAAACTTTCAGGACTGATAGTCCGTCATCAGTTTATTTGCATTGTATGAAAATCGTGTGTCGCTGTTACTTCCGGTGGTGACAGGAAGTGATGCAAAAAAGTGAATGGTTAATGGTTAGCACGTTGGATTTTCACACTGACGACCAGGGTTAAATCTCCAGAGTGTCTGAATTTCTTTTATCACTTTTTCAGCTTGAATTTTCGTTTTTATTTTCAGAATCGGACGGAAGACCTCTCATTGCTCGCAATGAGTTTCTAGTTTATAAGCTAATTGTTCACTATAAGCATGTTTAACTTTAGTATACTGGCATGCAATGGACAGGAAAAAAAGTCATCTATGCCAAGAGAGATAACTCTCTGTTAACAACACTATTTTACAGTGATAAATATTTTTATATCACACAAAAACAAATGAATTTTTTTTGCTACAGAATATTTTTTTAAGCAGCTATTGTCAATCAAACCCAATTGTGATTATATATAGGGTTAATCATCAGAAACAAACCTAATAAATACAATTGAAATTCATTATCTGAACTTTGATATCTTAAATACCAACTGGAAATGTCGAAGTGATTTGGAAGTCTCAATCCTTATTCTTTAAGAATTTTACCCATGATATCTTGAATCTACAGTTATCTTGAAATTTTTTTGTTGGTCACATCCAGTTCAAGATAATGAGGTTTGACTGTAATAGTAGTATGTGTTTACATTTAAAAGTAAGGATACGTACGTTATCTTTTTGTAATTTTGCGAGTTCTGCTTTATAACTTTTAACTCTTGTGTTGTATTTCTGTCTGTCTTTCAGAGGTAAATCTTTAACTTCAAGTTCCATCTGCTCAAGCTGTAAGATAGAGCAATTGTTACATACAACAGCAGTATTAAGTATTAATATTAAAAAAAAAATCAATGATGACTTTTGATGAATTCCAAGTAGCTTTGAAAATTAATCATAAATACTCCTGCAGGGTTGTGGTTAACAACTGAATCCTAGCTAACAAGCCATGTGACCTCAAACTTTTTGAAGTTTAAAAAAAATGCCCACAATATGATCCATGAGCCCACATTATTTATCAATTAAAAAGAAATAAAAGTGTTCTTTGATTTTTTAATAAATTGTTGACTATATATTTATTTTTGTTTATATAGTAATTAGTATGTTGATGGCATCTAAAGTCTTTTTTCTAAAAACTTTGATCTGGTATGCTTGTTACATTTTTAAGCAATTTAATATTAATTATATGAAATACAACCAGTGACAAATTAAAGTTTGATCGTGCATTTGACACCATAAACAAACCATTCCATAATTAAGTGTCTGACAACCATGGCCAATTACTAGTATTACAATATTTCTGTAAAAATTACTTTAATCCTTTCCTCTTGTACTCTTTTTTTTTCTAAACGCGACCATGTTTTCAATCAATATCTAATCACAAAGAGCAAATTTTACTTGAATCGGCATGTGAGTGAGTGGTTAGCCCTAACCCTGTTCCTGTGATCAAAGAGTCTAACAGTGCTGGAATGATGTACTGTATTCAAATATGAATTTTCTTTCCATTATTTTGGCTGTTTATCATTTTTAGGGTAGGTTGAAGGAATCTACACTCACCAATTCTGTGGCCTCATCAAACAACTTCTCTGCTTGTCTGATATGTACCTGTCTTTCAGCTATCCAAAATAAAATGTATTTAATAAAATAATATATCTTTCACATAATATATAATTGTATGAGCTAGTTTTCCATTTCAACTGTTGAACAATAAGTGGGTATGATCAATTCTAACACAGGCCTCTGAATTTCTATCAATAAGCCGTTATATGATTGATCAGAGTGATATATATACCCCCTCTATATATAAATACATGCATTTATATATAGAGGGGGTATATTAATATCACTCTGATCAATCATATAAGGGCTTACTGATAGAAATTCAGAGGCCTGTGATTCTAAGTACACTTGACTTGTAGTGATTCAAATTAGATAACATTAAATCTTTAGGAAGCCAGTCTATACTCCACTCTTGATAAGTTTAATGACTACATAGAAAAATTGAAATTGACATCTTCATCAGCTTTGATCAATCGGTAAATCTATCCAATCTTTAATAAGTAAATAGATTTTACAATTTTCATAAATTTGCGTAAAAACTGCCCTTCTGTTTTGTAAAATTACAGTATCCCAGTGAATAAGTCTGTTAAAGAGCTATCATAGCTCATGTTATTATGTTATACTGTATAAACATGCCGACTATAAATAAAATTTACTTGACTTGACTTGACTATCAGATATATGCCATAGACCTACAGAAGCAGAGGAAATTCGAAATATACACAATTTTTTTTTTACCTCCATGTGTATTGGATATTCTTCCTATGTTAAATGTGATATCTGCCGTTAAGCTTGAATACTGTTGTTCATACGACTCTATCAGGGTACCCATGACGAAAAAAAGACGTAAAAACAACAGAACTGTCGGAAATGTTTTCGATCCCGATGTCAAAGATGAGCACTTCCGGTGCAATCTTTTCTTCCGGTAAACAACCAAGGTAGTCCGTGTTTTGTACTACTGTTGATGACAATCGATGCCATCGTGTCATAATTAAGAAATAAAACGTATAGATATTTACCAATTTTAAATTTCGATTGTATTTCTTTTCTCTCATAGCTTTATTGTTCATCAAACGTTGAATGTGAAGGGAAAACATTGACTTTATTCTGGGAAGGGGGATCTTTTGGACAAATTTAGCGGGTTGTCTACAGATCATAGGCAAAAATGTTTTAGATATTAAGAGGATTTAGTTCTTGTTTAGGTATTAATACCAGAGCATGACAATCACATACCACCTAAAAATGTCTCTGGCATATTTTGGATGTATTGACAATTATTGAAATAAATGATGCATTCTTCCCTTGTATGACGTCTGCTTGAAAGAATATCGGTTGAATGAAGTATTGGATTTACAAGTAGTTTAAATTATGCAAATATTACAAGAAACTGCATAAAAAATATTCAAGTTATTAAATCTGTGTACCCATGAGTATTGTAAAGTTTGACAAGCAACTTGAATCCTCTGTCTCAGAGTTTTAGAAGTTAGTGCATGTATTTGTAAAATATTGATCTATTCTCAATATATTTTTATTATATCCTCAATTGTAGATGGTTCAGCGACTTACTTTTCGCCGGAGACTGTCTTACAACACAAAGAGTAACAGCAGGAGGGTGTAAGTATCTCAAGGATAAAAAAATAACTTCTCCTGTAAAAAGTGAAATTGTCCAGTGAGCCTTCGTGAGGATCTTGTCCTAAGAGGCTTAAAATTTAATGTGTTTTAATTTAAATGTCAGAGGCCATTTTTACATTATATTACATTGTTTACAATATAGATACACTGTATTTTATTAATTAAAATACCATGTTACAAACTTGCTTTAAACATATATTTGTACAATTAAAAAAGACTACACATAGGGTGATGCTGGAGTATTGTGTGATTCCATTGATTATAAGAATATGTACAGTGATAAATATTACTTACTAATGAACTTTTATTGTATTTTTTCATGTGCTGTATAACACAGATCAAAGACTCCTGGTAAGTTTTGATGCAAGCTGTATATTTCCTGTTCTTTAAGAATCTTTTGCAATGTAGCACTGATTAAAGGGTTTTTATCACGTATCTAAATTTCTTAAAAGTGAAACACTTTTAAATTCTTGAAACATATAATTATCCTTTAATTATGAAATAATTTTGAAAACAGTCACAATTAGTCGATAAACCGCTCGTAATTTTGAGTTCTCAAAGTAAAATTCTCCACTAATCAGATAGGGGTCATGTGGTATTGAAACATCATAGGTGTCAAAGGTCAATTAGAACTCGTAAAGCTTATTGTAAGAGAAATATATCAAATAGATTTTGACATTAAATAAATATTTAACACAATAAGGTTGGTGAAATTTTGACATTGACGATATTTTTTTGGTTATGAAGAAATAGATTTCGCAGGGGTAGATAAATAGAATTTGTCAGTACTTGCCCTTGGACAGGTTACCATCATAAAATTACTTGTCCTACCAAAAAATATGCTTGTCCCACCTTTTTCTTAAATAACACAAAACTAAAACATTATCATTAACATTTAGGACTAACCTTGACCCAAAATCACTAATTCTGTGCATTGATTATTCAACTTAAAATTTTAAAAATATGTACATGTCAATGTATATACATTAACATGTACTTATACATTTCTTTGTATTTTTTAAATGAAAATAACATACCTGTATCTACATTATTGTGTTATGAAAAACACTCCTGAATGTCGATTAAGGGTTCAACTTCATGACTGTGTGTGTTCGCCAGTCAACAACTCCAATTTAATAACAGCAACATGTGTTTGTGTCGTGTATTCAAGGCATGAATTTCACATTTTTACAAAAGAAAGGTCCAAAACCCTCTTCAACTTTTTTGACATGACATTGATGCCTGACATGTTCTACTTCTCATGTATATTTTATTGATCAAGACTGGGCAATTCCAGAAGAGTTCATACCGAGTGTTCAATATAGTGGTAAACTGCGTCGAAAACAGATACTCTGCTGTGATTCATTATATTTTAACAGCGGTAAAACAAAACAACATTTGAGTATATGATTCCTTGTTAACTGCATGGAAAAACACTTGTGACGTCTGGGGGCAGGTACCAGATATGAAATACTTGTCCGCCAAAAGAAATTGGTTGTACCGGGCGGGCAATGCTATTTGTCTAGCCCTGGATTTCGGATCTGAAATCCTTGGCTAGTGAAGATGAGAATGCCCACAATGCTTCATAAGGGCAGTTTTTTTTAATGGTATTGCTTTTGATTGGAGATGGATATTAATTCTTGTCGCTTTCCTTTTAATAACTTTGTCAGAGACACTGTTTAAATCTATGAATCTGAATGAGAATATGAAACATTACTTACAAATGAAAACTGAATTTTATGTATAAAAGCAAACAACAATGGGTATATACAGGCCTGCTGCCAGAACCTGAATTTTACTCTAGCTGTGGTACAGCCACATGATGGGGGATATATGTGATCCAGTTTAACAAGGTTTTAGGTTATATGTGTTTTTTTGCTTGAAAAAAATTGTTGATGGCTCAAAATTATTTAACTGCGAGTTGTCTGAAAACAATACAAACTTTCAAAGAACAAACAAAGAAAAACTTGGTTTTATCGGAGTTATTTTGTGTGAAATCTTGATACAAAATTTTGCTGGTATTTTCAGGTGGTAAATTGGTTTACCTATACACAAAGAAACCTGGCAGTGTCCCAAAATGTGGAGACTGTAAAGTTAAACTACATGGGGTATGTATTGTCTGTATAAATAACATTGATTGTGTTTGAACTCTCATTTATATACAATAACACGTTTTAACTCACATTACATCAACAGTAATAATATCTTGAATTAAAATACACTTCGAAAATTAGAAATGAATTAAAATTTAATAAAAAAAAGTAAAGTGATCAAGAAGAATAAAGCTTACAATTGGCATGTATTATCTTTTATTCAAATCAGTATTACTGCTATATTATAACAACATCAGTTGAATCCTGAAATATTTTTATTTTTCAACTACCCAATGCATATTTTTGAAATAGAAAATTGTAAACCAAACAAAGAAAAACTTTGGCCTTAATACTTAAAGTGCATGTTTCTCCATTTATTTCTCCATATATTTAATCTGCCATTTAACTCTTGTGTACCTAATATATACTACTATCACAAGACATTTCCCACAACAACTGTTAAGGCCAAATAAAATTAGATTTAAGATTCTCATCCCCATCTCCCCTCTCAAATTGTCCCACCCTTTTGTGTTCTATTTTGGTTTTTTGTTATCAAACATATTAATAGAAATAATTATAAGAGTTAATCCCCTTTAGCCTTAAAAGATGCTGAGAGTGAGAAAAACCAGTCAGAAACATGAGAAAAGCATTGTATGTGTAGGAAAAATTAGTTAAAATGCCAGTATAGAGAAACTGAGAATACAGAGAAGTAGCAAAAACACATGTTCTGACAATCTAGTACCATTAGCAAGTTTTTTTGAAAGGGACTTGAACAGAGTAAAAGTACAGGGAAACAGACGAAGAAATCAAATTTCAAAAATTATATCTTCGAGGGACTTCCAGTTGTATGTTATTTCGTATTTTAAAAAAATCATCTGGAGACATTAAAAGATAATAGTGTGACAGGAAAAGGGAAATACATGTATATAAGAACTATTCAGCATAGGATAAATTCTATAAATTTTATAGACACTGCTTTTGCAAAATTTTATTTGGAAAATGTAAAATGAAGTATGGAGATAACGAACAGTATTCAAGCTCAAAGTCCAGTAAAACAATACAAATTGGGAGCAGAGCAAACACGGACCTTCAAAAACATCAGAGGTGGGATCAGGTGCCATGGAGGAGTCAGGAGTGAGCATCTCCTGCCGACCTGTCTAGGACAATAGAAATCTGTGATATTTTCAGACAAAACACAAGTAGTAATCAAAATAAAAGGTAAAGGTCTATTTTTGGAGAAAGGTCTGCCAGAAGTGGTGGTGTAGTATACCACTTACAGCAACAGCATGTACAATCAAAGTATTGGGATCCACACCCCATTTGATAGCACCATTTTTCGTGTGGTGTAAATACTCAGAAAATCATTAACAATGTGAATATTTTGAGTAAGAAATATTTTCTGTAGATATTTTAAAAAATAAACAATAAAATCTCCATACTGGCTTTAACAGTGTGTGTTTTTTTCCCATCAAGAGAACATTACATAGGTATTTTCAAGTATAAAATGTGGAGGAGAGAAAAAAAAAACACACTATGGACAACAGCAACAGGGATATCAAGGGAACCCTTAACAGGCACCTCCTGGAGTTTATCAAAAAAAAAAAAATTAAATCTTGATTCTTCCCACCTGCCCCAAATTTTTAATTGAATGAGGATGAGAATCCAAATTTTTAGGAGTGAAACGGTTCACCGCGGTAACGATTCGCCGCGGTATTTTTTCTCGGTTTGATACACGGTTCCAAATCTCTAATTTTCGGTTCGGTACATTTTTCGGTCGGGACCGTTATTTAGTCGGGTTTGGCATAAGGTAAATCACTTTACTCAGTATAAATAAGTATAGAAAACATAAATTTTTTTAATGACTGATAGCTTGTAAAATAATTTTTGACAGTCAAATAATTTTAATCAATTTCTTCTAGTCAATTTGCAAATAAAATTCATAAAATATGTGACTAGATTTAGAAAAAGAAAGCATAAAACAACGTTGAATTTGTTTCCTTCTATCAAAATGTATAGTATCGAAAATAACCGAACCGCGAGAAAATTATACAATACGTATCGAACCGTGAAGGAGGTGTATCGTTTCACCCCTACAAATTTTTAATTTATGTGGCTTAAAACCCACACTGAACCTAAAACTTAGACCATCAAAAATTTTTTATTT